GCCGCACGTTTCACCTACGTGCACGAATTTTCTGTGGTACGTGTATCTTGTCCAGACGCACAAAAAAGTCTCTTGGAGCCATAGCCTAAACCCAACAGGAAGTCGGCCATTTTGAATTTTACGTCAAATTTTGGATGATTTACACACTTCGTACTTTAACAAACTCCTCCTAGGGATTTAGTCCGACCGACCTCAAATTTCTGCTGTGCCTTCTAAAGGCATTGAAGATGAAAAGTTGTGCTATTTGCAAGTTTTCGTCAATGGGCGTGTCCGTGGCGTGGCGTCAGAGATCAACTCTTCGCCATGACACAGGAAGTTGTCGTAACTTCAGTGTACATGCTCACATCTTAACCAAACTTTACGTGCTTGATAACTCTCCCACCCCGTTTTGGAGGACCGATCCTGACACAGCCAGAAATAAATACAGAAATAAATAAATGCTCAATAAATAATAAGCATCCAATTAAATACACAAAAAAATAAAGTAAATAAATAAATGTAGGTAGTAATTAAATTATACAAGGAGACATAAATGTTTATATTTTAATTAGTGCCTTTACTTATTCACCATTGTTATAATTACCTTATTTTTTTATTCAACTTTATTTATTAATAATTTTTTTAATGTATTTATTTATGTGTGTGTTTAATATTTTTGTCTGTTTTATTCTTCCTTTGTATTTATTTACCTTATTTATTTTCACCCATGGTATTTATTTCTGCCTGTCTTTTTTAAATTTTTGTATGCATTTCTGCCTCATTATGCAAATGAGGAGGGGCTGTGTCTCAAGGGGTCATCTTCTCTGCTATTGGTGGACCAGTCAGACAGGAGAGCTCCTACTCTGCCTGCAGACATCAACGATCTTGCCCCTCACACAGTCAGATGACTTCCTTCAGTGCGCTGAGGTGTTTAACAACTCTGAAGACAATACTACCAGCAATGTCTTCCTTCTCTTTTCACGTAGACGCTCCGACAGACAGTGCTTTCAGTTTGCTGCATGCATGGACACAGAACTGCGGTATAGGGAAAGCACACGGTCAGCTGGCTGCAGCTAAATCTGGAGTGCACTCGTATTCAATTCTGTATGGTAAATTCAGTTTTAACGGAGCAGAGCGAGCTGACAGGCAGAGTTAGAGACTTTTTCTGTCCGTTTCTCTCTTTACAAAGACGCATGTTGCAGTCAGAGTCTTCTCTGAAGAGGGCAATGAAGTCTCAGTAGTACCCAATGCGAGCAGAACCAACAAAACAATTTATCAAATTACACAACGGATATACAGTATGAAAATAAGATTGATTGGATTATACTCACAGGAAGTATAAAACCTGTTACATGCGTAACACAGTAATGTCAGGGAAATTACTTTACTTAGAATTAAGTACTGCAGTTGTACATTTGAAATACCTTCCTAACTTTGTGATAGGAAGCCTTCTTGAGGTGGTATAAAACATTTCTTCTTATATTCTGATTTGAGTTGTGGACAACTATGACCACATGAATTAAAAAATTAAACATTTCACTGCCCAAGTCAGCTATAACACAAGTCTTGTTCATCAGACTACATGCTGTGGACAGATTTTGTCCCAGGATTTATTATGCATTTCTTCTTCTTCGTTGCATGATTTAGAATAATAAGGTGAGAAATGGTCTATTCTGAGTTCATCCTGCACTGCAGCAGCTATTAAAGTCCATTTAATCCCAAAAACGCTTTTCTTTTAGGCAGGCTGGAGCAGAAAACAACTCACCTTTCTCAAGTTGTACAGTAATGTCACATGTGTATGAAGGTGGATCAAAAGAGCTAATCTTAAATGTCAAAGTGGAGAGGAGCCTAGTAGGCCTATTTATTTTCATTCATTACACAATATGAATAAGCTATGCAGACAGTTGTAAAGAAAGAACATCTTTTTCTTCTGTTCTCTACTTGTTATAGTTACACAGTATTAGGGGTGTGGGCTGTATTAAAAGTATCCACTGTTCTCCCATGCTCTAACACACAGTAACGATGAAATGTGTGCTGTTCTCACATTCTTCCTCTGTATGTACACATAAACAACAAGGCAGGGAAATATAAAAGGAATTTATTTTATTGTTTGGGTACATTATTGTTCAGTGTACATGCTCACATCTGAAACAAACTTTACGTGCTTGATAACTCTCCCACCCCGCAGACATCTACACGTCAATACCGATTTATATTCATAGCGGCAAGTGCTATGTAGCTCCACATAGGGGACACAGGAAGTGACATATAACACCTTCATGCGGCGTCATAACCGCGTAGCAAATTCACAGCCGCACCGGCAGAGCTCCAGAATATGCAACTCGGCCGGCTCACACGCGGACGCGCTTATAAGTGCGAGGGCCCGCCCAACGCTGCTTGCAGCTTTAATTAATAATTATTATTTAATTAGCTGACACTTTTATCCAAAACTACTTTCAATTGCTATATATGTCAGAGGTCACACACCTCTGGAGCAACTGGACAGTGGTTAAGTGTCTTGCTCAGCGACACATTGGTGGATGTATCATAGTGTAAATATCTCACACCACAGGCATGTGCCTTAGCCACTGCTCCGTCACCACCCCTCTATTAACATCTCAAACCAATTGGTTCTCATGAACATCCTCCAGATATTGCCATTCAATAGTCTACCTATCTGAGCCATCACTGTCACTTTCAAATCCTACTTTTTCAAATGTAGAAATTACCATAATGCTGCACACAGCACTTGGGGGGTCTCGTATGTCTAGGAGGTCCAACACATCTGATAGTTTCAAAATGTGTGAAAATAAACAGATGATAACTAGGGTCACAGCCAAAACCTGTGTTTGCACTGTGTTATACTACCGGTCTAACAAATTTACACCTCTTACGAGCAAAATCAATATGCAGGAGTATAATTCTCAAAACATATCAGTAGTAGACACTTAAAAGAATATATGTACAAAATATGACTATTCTATCTGTTAATTAAGGTATTGTACTTACTACTTTTTGTAGTAATCTGAGGAAGACATCTTCTTCCAGGTGTGCAAGCAGAAAGTAAACTAATCTGGTCATGTGACCTTTCACACTAGTCGTGATATTGATCAATTTTAATCAAGACAATCTATTTTTTCATTTAAAAGTTTCTTGCCCAAAGCCAACAATACAACTTTCAGAGCTTCAGAAATAACAGAAAAAGACACGGTCACAAATAACCCGGGATTAAACGGGTTAAGTGTAACATGTGCTCCACTATCAACTATAATATTTTGCGCCCGCTGTGCTTTATATTTTTCTGGTCTTTACGTTTGTCTGTACACAAAGTGTACGCTCAATTTACAGGTGCTGGTCATATAATTACAATATCATCAAAAAGTTGATTTATTCCATTCAAAAAGTGAAACTTGGATATTATATTCATTCATTACACACAGACTGATATATTTCAAATGTTTATTTCATTTAATTGTGATGATTAAAACTGACAACTAATAAAAATCCCAAATTCAGTATCTCCGAAAATTAGAATATTACTTAAGACCAATACAAAAAAAGGATTTTTAGAAATGTTGGCCAACTGAAAAGTATGAACATGAAAAGTATGAGCATGTACAGCACTCAATACTTAGTTGGGGCTCCTTTTGCCTGAATTACTGCAACAATGCGGCGTGGCATGGAGACGATCAGTCTGTGGCACTGTTCAGGTGTTATGAGAGCCCAGGTTGCTCTGATAGTGGCCTTCAGCTCTTCTGCATTGTTGGGTCTGGCGTATCGCATCTTCCTCTTCACAATACCCCATAGATTTTCTCTAGAGTTAAGGTCAGACGAGTTTGCTGGCCAATTAAGAACAGGGATACCATGGTCCTTAAACCAGGTACTGCTAGCTTTGGCACTGTGTGCAGATGCCAAGTCCTGTTGGAAAATGAAATCTGCATCTCCATAAAGTTGGTCAGCAGCAGGAAGCATGAAGTGCTCTAAAAACTTCCTGGTAGACGGCTACGTTGACCTTGGATCTCAGAGTGGACCAACACCAGCAGATGACATGGCACCCCAAACCATCACTGACTGTGGAAACTTTACACTGGAATTCAAACAACGTGGACTCTGTGCCTCTCCTCTCTTCCTCCAGACTCTGGGACCTTGATTTCCAAAGGAAATGCAAAATTTACTTTCATCAGAGAACATAACTTTGGACCACTCAGCAGCAGTCCAGTCCTTTTTGTCTTTAGCCCAGGCGAGACGCTTCTGACGCTGTGTCTTGTTCAAGAGTGGCTTGACACAAGGAATGCAACAGCTGAAACCCATGTCTTGCATACGTCTGTACGTGGTGGTTCTTGAAGCACTGACTCCAGCTGCAGTCCACTCTTTGTGAATCTCCCCCACATTTTGAATGGGTTTTGTTTCACAATCCTCTCCAGGGTGCGGTTATCCCTATTGCTTGTACACTTTTTTCTACCACATCTTTTTCTTCCCTTCTCCTCTCTATTAATGTGCTTGGACACAGAGCTCTGTGAACAGCCAGCCTCTTTAGCAATGACCTTTTGTGTCTTTCCCTCCTTGTGCAAGGTGTCAATGGTCGTCTTTTGGACAGCTGTCAAGTCAGCAGTCTTCCCCATGATTGTGTAGACTACAGAACTAGACAGAGACCATTTAAAGGCCTTTGAAGGTGTTTTGTCTTCAATATTGAACCTTTTCACAATATTCTAATTTTCTGAGATACTGATTTTGGGGTTTTCCTTAGTTGTGAGTTATAATCATCAAAATTAAAAGGAATGAACACTTGAAATATACCAGTCTGTGTGGAATGAATGTATACATTATACAAGTTTCACTTTTTGAATGGAATTACTGAAATAAATCAACTTTTTGATGATATTCTAATTATATGACCAGCACCTATATATAACAAGTGAAACAGCGCCCTCTGGACCGTCAATGATGGTATTGCGCAAGTAAAGCCAGGTGAAGTTGATATCCCTTGATTAAAGAGGTACAAACCGAGTTTATTTAGCAAACAGTCAGTTACGGTGTGAAACTGTGAATATACAGGTGTAAAATAAACTATTTAGGTGAAACCTGTCGCACTTTGGCTTCACTCCAGATAACTGTAGACAATTATTAATAATAATATTTGTTAGGACGTCTTCCACTAAGTTAGCGTTAACTTACTAGCTAGGAGTGATGGAGGGAGGAAATTGCATCAACAAGTGTTTGTTACGGTAATTGTCATTGCAGCAGCAAGCGCAATATGAAGTCATAAAATGGATTTTATCCACTTTGCCTTTATGAAGAAGAGAACGGACTTCATCCTCAAACAACGTGAGTCAAATACACCCTTTTTGCTCGCTACTTATGTCACTAGTGCTTAGCTTGGCTGTGTGGTTATGCTATCCTATGCCTCCTTTTCCTGGAACCTAAAGCTATTAATACTATAATACTATATATATACTATATATATTTAATGCTGTTGTCAGATACAGATAATTCATATGGTTAACACAGATACAGATAATGCTGTACTCGCTCATCCCTATTGTCTACATAGACACAGAAGGACAGAGCCCACAGGAACTTTGAACCATTGCTTCACTTTTGTAATCATTGGTTGTTCAGTCAGTGTGATTTGTGTAGGATTGTAACTTGGGTTACTAAGTAACTGGTAACGTTAGACCATGTAGGCTAGATTTGGATATAGATAAGAGGAGGGTATTGGATACATCATTGATAAGGTTGTTTGTTTTTGGCATCTTTATCTCTTTATTCAATCTATTATCTGCATCACTGTGTAATATTGGTGGTAATTATATTTGTATGGAGGAAGATGGATAAGAATTGTGACTACAATGAGTAAACCACAGCATCACATTTGCAAAGTTAGGTTAAAGTTAAAGCCCAGGCTTGCCAATAATAAGTTAATTTAAAATCATTGTAATGTAAATCATTTAATCAGATAGAAATTTTCAATTCCATGTGCACATATGACAAAATAAGAAAGTAAATGAAAACTCCACTGGCAAATAATTTTCAGTGTACTCCAAAGCATTAACACTGCCATAATTATGTTGATATTAAAAATTAAATAGACATTTGATTTTCAACGTGACACTTAAGATTTAAACTACAAACTGCATTTTAGAATTATATTTTGATTTGTTACATTTTGATCACATTTGTAATGACAATTTAGATAGATTTTATTGTCTCCAAACTCTACAGGGTGTGTATTATGTGTGCCTCAAAGATGCATCCAACAACGACACAAATACATTTGTACAGAAAAACAGTGTGTTCTTGTGATTAGCGAGCTGTGGGATTTAGCACTACTATAGCAGATGGGAGGAAAAAACTCGGAAACGTGCTTTTTTCTCCATCTGTGTAGTGAACTGTGTCTGTGCCAGGGTCATGTGCTACATAGACTGTTGTTGTTGGGGGTTGGAGAACTATGATTTTGGAAGCAGTGTGTGCAATATGGGACAACTTGCTGGAGACAGACAGGTTAGAAAACAGGGGGAGCAGTAGAGTATTATGGATTGAATTATGATTTTGTAAAGCAGTAAGCCTCCAGCTCTTGACAAAACACTGATGGGTGTCTTCATGGTTAACACTATTTTCTAGCAAGCGCTGTACTTTGAATATAGTTTTATTTCGTCCACAGGTGTTTAAAAAAGGCCCCATAGAGTGTTAAAAGCAAATAATTCAATTTAGGAAGTAAAATAAACAATAGGTTAAAGAGGTGGTATTATGCTCATTTTCAGGTTCAAAATCTTAATTAGGGGTTGTACCAGAACAGGTTTACATGGTTTAATTTTCAAAAAACACCATATTTTTCTCATACTGCACATTGCTGCAGCTCCTCTTTTCACCCTGTGTGCTGTACGCTCCGCTCTTGAGCTACAGAGTGATGCATCTTACTTGTACAAAATCTTTGTTGGGAATTGCACATGCGCAGTTCCCAGGTAAGGACTACTAGCCAATCAGAAGCAGAGAAGGGCGGGTCGTAAGAAACAAGGTAGTGTGATCCAAATCAAAGCCGCTTCAGACTGCGAGCGTAACCTAGCAGATGGTGGAAGTTATTACCAGTCCACAAAATCATTAGTTCCACATCTTACCATTAGGACTTAAAGTTGAACTGTTGCCGGTGTTCTGACGATCTATGCTGCCTTGCCGAAAAATGCTTCCATAGCGCAAATCGACAGACTCGACTCTACTCGGCCCTGCTCCGTTTTCCATTGCAGACAGTACCCAGAGATAGTATGTAGCTGGTCGTCATAGCGACGCCACACACAACTGCCGCGACGTAATGTTCAATGCGACACACACACACACCGGCTCTTAAAATATATCTACTCTACTAATCTACTATTCCTCTAAATGTAAAGACAGATAAGCGGTATGAAAACCTTCCAGCTGTGTTTTCCTCTGTCATTGTTGCTGCAGCGGTCTGTGTGACGGCGGGAGCAGAGGGCTCTGTGAGCGGGCGGCTGGCCGGCCTCACACGCTCCTCCCGCGGGTTGGCGCAGGCTTCCCCCGCAGCCACTTGCGGAGCTCCTCAACTCCGAAAATATTCAAGCATTTTTGTTCCGCCATCACTTCTCGTAAAACTGTCAATATTCTAAATCTACACAGCTGATTTCACCTCAAAACTTCTCAGAAGTAGATTTAATGATGAAATTCCATACGAAAATTGTAAAACTTAATGTTGCTGGCCTCTGTCTGGTGCACGCAATTATGATGCAGTGAATAGGGGTGGGGGAAAAAATCGATCCAGCATAGTATCATGATATTTGCCATGGCAATACTGTATGATACAAGGACGCCAAGTATCGATATTTTATTATATAAATTGCAGATGGGAGTTTGAACTTTTTGGTACTAGAATAATAAGATCTATTGCTTTTTTTTAGTCCACTAGAAAACTTAACAGGACCATATAGAGGACTGAAAAAGTGATATGAACAAACAGAAATGTATCTTTTTAGATAAACAGATGTTGACAAAGTTTGACTTTAGGGACCTAATTGGAAGTTGGAAAAAGGTAATAAATTGCAATAAAAGTGAATCGCAACATAAATATCGTGATAATATCGTATCGTGGGGCCTCTGGTGATTCCCACCCCTAGCAGTGAATAGTGAATATTTTCTCTGACCAGTCAGCAGTCTGTCGTGTTTTCACGTTACATTTTAGTATCCCTCAGCTCGCTTGGAACCTCGATGGAGGTGAGGTGATACGAAAAAAAGTACCTGGAAGCAGGTACAGGTACAACATTTCTACAATGGAAAACCAAACAAAGGCGAGTCGAGCCAAAGGGCCTCGGCTCAGACTAGCTTGGTTTGAGGGCGTGCCTGACCCCGCTAGCTGCTTGGCAAGCTTTATGACGCGTTTTCATTGTGACGTCACAAGTCAAGAACGTGAAGGGCTGGACTATAAACGAGCTGTTTTCAAGCGGTTCAGAGCAGAGCTTTCTGAGGGAGATGGGAACTCACTTTGCAAACCTTTTACATGCACAAAAAAAGATATATAACTCTAAGGGAAAAAGCCAAAAAGCATAATACCACCTCTTTAATGAAATGATAGGTTGTCTTAGAAAAGTGTTGTAAAAGAGTGATCTAATAATTGTTTAAAATTCATTTTTAAATGCATCAAAAACAGATATACATTTGTGTAGCCTAAATATTATATTGCCATATTTGCATTATTCATTTTGTGGTCATGTTTTCAGTCTGAAAGAACACTTAATGTCACGTGACATGCTTCAGTAAGAAGAAATATTACTGGGACCACTACAGAAAATTGTACATTAACACATTAGCATTTGTGTTGTATTTGATTTAATGTTAAACAGGGTATCTTTAAAAATATATACATGCTTAAACTAGATAATTCTCATTTTCTTCAATTATATAATTATAAGAACTTTTTAAATATGTTGCTTGTAAAAAGTTTTTGCTTGAGTCAGTGGAATGCGCTGTACAAATGCATGTGTGTGCAAGTGATCAGGATGGTACCACCTCCACATCATTTTGAGCAAGGGAAAACCCTGCAAAGAGCTTTGAGTTTGCAGATGGTGGATATTCTTTGCTGGCAGCAGCAGTATGGATGTCAGTGTTAATTGTCCACTGTGATTCAAGGTGTCTGAAGCTGTCAGCCTGCTCGACTGTCTCAGTCACCACGGGTGATTGTACGGTTGTTGTTGCCATATTGGTTTACTGGAATCAGAAGTGACATTTGGACAAGAGGATAGAGCTAGCTAGCTTGGCTGGCAAGGTTCATTCTTAACTCATTAATTGCGATGCTAATTTTGGCTAGTGAAGGGCTTAAATTAAAATGTACTTACTGGACAGCAGTCGTTAATACAACCAAATGTTGAACAAGACACTTTCAAAATAATACAATTAACTTTCATGTACTGGAAACACGACAGGGTCAAAGTTCTTAGATGAAAACAGCCACAGACTCAAAAAAAAAAGTTCATGCTAGTTAAATGCAGAGGATATGATTCACTGCTATCCAGATTGACAGGTCGCAGTGGTAGTGACTTGTCAATCACAAGGTAACCATGCCCTAAAGCCTCTCTGCTTTATAGTTTATTTTAAATGGAACCATAATTTACTAAATGAACATAATGCTGTTTTGGAGAAGACTTGCGATTGAGACCATGAACTCGTTAGGTAAATGGTTACTGAGGTAATAAATCAAGGAGTAGGAGGAGTAGGGTCATTTTGTTTTAGACTCACGCAATCAGACATCTTTTGGCAACCAGTGGAGTCGCCACCCGCTGGCCATTAGAAATAATTCAGGTTTAAGGAACTTCTGCATTGGCTTCACTTTCAGACCCAGAGGTTGCCGCTTGGGAGGAAAAGACAGGACAGTGTTGTGGGTCTCTGGTGTTGGCATGTGCACACAAATGCAAAGTGAAATTTCTTTTTCATATTTGCAGGCCTTGGCTTTCATAAACTACCGATACAATGGTACTACAAATCTAACTTTGTTTTCTGTTTAGTAAACTAAGTCACAGTGTCCTACCTCTCCTGTTTCTGTTCGGCTGAGGTGCCAAAAAATTCACCCTCATGGCCATTCATCTCGTTGAAAACACAGAAAATCAATTGAACAGCATAGGAAACAGGATGAATTTGAGTTTTAAGACTGTTAAGTGCCTCCCTAATCTCGACATGGAAATAAATGTCCTTAGTGAGATGAACCCTCTTGGTCTGCCAGATCTCAGTGTCTAGATTACATTCTGCACTGATACCTGGAGTGCAGTTGAATTGCATTTCATTATACTGTGTTTTCTAATATCTTGCATTGAGACTTTGTAGCAGAATACGCCTAGCTATTAAACTGTAAACTGCTTTGTGACAAAATTGACTTGCCTGCTTCAGTGGAGGTAAATTAACAAAAAAAATGAACAGAAACAAGATTAATTAAAAAATACAGAATTTTTAGTAATCACATGGTGCCAATGAACTGAACAAAGACTGTAACCCAAAATACACTTTAAGTTCTTTTATTAAGGATTTTCTTCTGTACAAGAGTGAGGAGTTTCTCTGTTTCACGTGTTAGCCTGTCAGCAGCTCTGTACAACCGGCTGTACAACAGGAGATCAAACATTACTGATGAGGAAATGTGTTAATTGAAGTAGTGGCTTTCGGTACAACACAGGTCAGAAGGTGAGGCATGGATTGTTTGAATGCACGCAATCATACGCCCCTCCAAACTATTTACAACAAGATGACTGACTGGCCTTTGAGACAGATAAGTAGAGGCAGACCAGCTAAAACACAACTCAAATGTTATCACATAAAAGGTCTTTGAAAGGTCTTTCAAAGGGAAAAAAAAACAAGAAAAATGCACTCAAAATCATCCATCAAAAGGCCCATCTGGAGTTGGTTTATTTACAGTCTGATTTAAACCAAAGCCCACAGCTCTAATAAATCATACGGTGCTGCTGGCCTTAATGAGGTCAACACTATAAACTTCACCTGCTCTCTATGCCTAGAGAGCCAGCAGCAATGCTACCACTTCTGAACCTTTCTCCTACTGCTGACTGATCAGGGACAACACAGGTATAAAAAAATTGAAATCAGGCATCGTTAGGCCTATGTGTTTTAAAAGATAATTTTGGTATTTCAAAACCTGGGCCCTATTTTAGTGTCAGTGACTAGTAGGTACAAAAAGTTGTGGAAATGAGTTGGTGGGAACGATGGAGAGGAGTTTGTTGTGTATGTAAAGGAACTGCTAGTAAGACGTTATTTTTCTAACGTTACTCCAACACATCAAACTCCCCTCTCCAACAACAGACTCACGTTTCCACCATGGTCTTCCTGCAGCAACACGCCTGTAACGAGATTTCAGAGCAAGAATTGTCCTTGGGCGGTTGTTATAAACAAAGGGTGTCACTGGTAGGGGATCCTTTCCATGATACTGTCATGGTAAATCAGTCTGATCCTGTCAGTGGCAAAAAGAAGCACTTTTTGTGGATGTTATTTTGATGGGCACAATTTCGTTCCTATAAGTCATTACGACACAAAATGTGAAAATAGGGCCCAGGTTTAAAAATACAAGCAACTAAAATCACAGTATTATAATTTCAGTCAAGTCTTAAAAGCAAAAGTACATGTGGCCTTCTACTGTTTTAACTGTGTCTAGAACTGTTTCCCCTTTAAAATGTTTTTCCATTAAAATTAAATTTCAAGCTTATTAGTTTTTCTCATTTTTACTTTAGTCATCAGTTGTTGTTTCTTCTACTTTGAATTTTTCAGTTTTAATTCATTTCCTTTTCTTTTTCCCTGCAATGAATCACTTTGTAATTTGCTGAAATGTGCTTCTCTAATCATCGTTATTGGGATAAACTATTGCTATCAAATATGTGGACTGCAAAACTGAGGGGAAATGCTGGTATGAATACTTCACAGCGTGAAAATAGCTTGACTAAAAGGCTTTTGTTTAATAGTCTCTATTCTGAGCTGCCAGTTAACTTTCTCAGGAAACGCACAATTTTAGGCTCAGTTCACACTTAACACGGATTTAATGCTCGTTTGCACTTGTCTCAGTCCATCATCTTCACTTTAAAAGTGCAAATCAGCTGAAATCTGAGTTCAACTGGCAGACATGGTAATAAAAAAAAAAAATCAAATATCGAACAGCTTTGTCAAATTTGAAACATTACGGACATCTAAAAATCTTCTGCTGTAAACCAGCTATCTCTCTTTTGCTGCTCATGGTGAGTTTCCAGGTGACTTCGCAGCAATCTGTTGATTCTCAAACACTTTCAAGGGCATTTCCCATTCCCTTCAACACAGTTTTAAGGAATTTCAAAGATCTTCAGCACTGCTTGAGCTGATGTGATTGACATGAAACAAACTCAACTTGTGTGTGTGGTCCCGTGTGGTGTACAGTGTCATTAATAAAAATATAATCATAAATAAACAATCAACAGAAGAATATGGTCAGTATAGTAAAAAAAAAAAAGCTTAGTTAATAGTGTGAGGAGTCTGCTAATCTTGTCATTATTAGTGTGTCACTATAAATGGTTAATGCAAACACGTGTGATAGCTCATCTTTATGTACACATATCATCATCCTCTTCGTCAACCTCAGTAAACCTCAGCCCGCTGAATGGCTCGCTAAGATACAGTGACTAGGCTCTCATTTCACATTCGCTTATAATTCGTTTGTTTGAGGAGTGTAAACCCAGGAGTACAACAATGACCCTAAAATTATGGAAAAATAAGCACGCAGGGGGAAAAATTAAAATGGAATATGCCTCAAAAGTAAATTAATCATATATGCCTTCCTGATATCCGGTATATTTGTACTCAATACTGCAAGCCAGCAGCTCCTCTGTTGCACCACTTGGGGGCATCAACAGTTGCAGGTAGAGGAAAAAAGGGGAGAAGGCAGCAGGTTATGTAAACAACAACACAGGATGTGTGAGGCATTAAAACACGACAAAAGATGCTCCAGGTGTTAGTGTACATGAGATATACACACACCGGTGTAGCTGCAGTGAGGGTGAATGTTAAATTGCACTTGACAAGATCAGGATTATCACAACATAGGGCTTCACAGAGAATGACATCTCATAAAATCCCCAATCACAGAGTCTGAAAAGTCATCCCATGTCCCTAAATGATTTCTTCTTGTTGGTAACAGTCACTTCTCACACCAAAGGTGGTGATGTAACAACACTTAACAGTAGCAAAAAGCGTTCCGTCCAAAGAAAGCTTGAGTCAGCGTTTTTATCTTTTATCAGTATTATAATTTCCTTTTGGCATGAAAGATCACATTGTCGCTGTATTGAAGTTCAAACTCTCCTGACTGTTTTTGTTGTCGTGTAGTTAGCTGAGTTGCCAAGTGCAGCTTTGAGTAAACTCTAACACAAGTGAAGAGGAAAATTGTAAGTCAAGTTTGGGTGCAGTGTGTGTGTTTGTACATGTGCATATAACATTGTCACAGTCTGGTCTCTTGTGGTCCTCCTGGTTCTGGTAAAAGACTAAGTTTGGACTTGTTTGCTGAAACAAGCACCGACCACCATGTTTGACTGTCAGAGCCAATGTGGAAGTCGTTTAAGATGTAGTTCCTATAATGACCCCTGACATATGATCCAAAACACAGGATTAAATTGAATTGGAAAACCTCCAAAGTCAAGATGCAGAGGATGGTCCCGATGTGGACTGTGGTGGATAGTCTGCGGCAGCAGTCTCCTGTTTGTTTTCTGCTTATTGACTTCTGGGTATTTGTCCGCTGTAATCTGTTTTTACTACTCCCAGTCTCTGCTCATACTTGTTTCTTCATTTCCTCTTTGTCTACAACAAAACATATGTGAGCGAACACAGACAGTATAGTTTACATGAGCCTCGTTTGTAAAACTGTGACAAGTTGTACCAAAATGCACTAGATTTCTGTTCTCTCTCAGCATGACAATCGCTGTTTCTGGAAGTGGCCTTAGGCTGTTGTTTTGTTGCTCTGGATGATGCACAATATCAAAACAACAAATTAAAAACTGGGAGTAGAATACATGAGCAGTGCATAGGTGCAAAATCAGGGATGCATTTTTTTTTTTTTTGCTTTGGACTGTGTCCCGTTCTAATTGCTTTCTTAATAATTTCAGCCAGAGGATTGCACATTTTAAACATTATCTCACTGGTACACTTCCAGAAATGTTGATCAAACCATTTTCTTCTCCCCCTGCAAGATTAGACCTAATTAAAGAATCTGATGCGTTTTTGCTCTCTGCTGCTTTGGGCTGAGCATGTATTGTACCCCCAAAACTAAAAGTCACTGCCGCTTCATCCTCTTCTTCTTCTGTCCAGACACATCTACGTCTTGTTCCCGAGGGTCGTCTGACGACGGTCAACAATTCACCACACCCACCTCAAGTTCAGCTCTGGAGACTTTCATTCTGGGTCTGAGGTTCGAAACACCTTAAAGAGTTCAATTCTCTTAGATATTGCATTCTGGCCTTCTTCAGATCCAGCTGTGATTGTGTTTTAGGACTTCTGCTCGGGGGTGGCAGCAGGCGTGGCCAGACTCTCCGGCTTCACAATCTGGTAGGTGATCAGGTATTCCGGGTAAGCCTGTGAACAAAGACCACATCAAATCAAAGTAAAACTAAATATTAGACTTATTGGTAGAGGTGAACTCATCATATATATATATATGAAAATAAATTAATAATGTTGATGTAAATGTCACCTTGGGCTGCATTTTTCAGTTTTCTGACATTTTTACAGATAAATACACACCCATCCACAATGAACTGGTGCAACTCTACTTATTTCATAGAATTATGTAACAAAGGTGTTTTGCACTCATGAACAGACTGTCAGAAAGGTGTGCGTGTCTACTGACCTGCTCCCCTCTGTAGATGACGTACTCTGCATACGCCAGTCCGTTGACGCTGGGTCTTCCTATAACAGAGTGGTGTCCAGGGGGGGCGTGGGCCATTTTCATCGCACTGAACTGAAGAAACGACTTACCCAGCGTCACTCTGCAGAACAGCATCTGCCTGAAATGCAAACACACAGAAGATGACATATGTTAATAACAGCGTTTATTTCATACATTTTTATTCAGTATGTTTTCATTTTGCTCCTCTGTATTAAGTGATTCTGGTTGGTAAAAGGTTTCCAAATTACTGTTCTCTCTACCTGTGTCCCAATTCCATATTATAGTATAATAGCAGCATATGATGTATTCTCATTTTCATAGTATTGTTTTTGCTATAAGTTAACAAGAAAACAATGTGCTTAATTGTTTCACACTAACCGGAAATGAGACAAGACCTGAAGGATTTCAATGAAACTGTGACTGCAAAGTATGTCCCTTTACAGCCTGGTTAGTAGTTAATACTTTAGTTTGGAATTAGGACACAGATATTGACTAGTAGTTCTTTCCTTCTGCACAGAGTTGTTCAAACATGCCGCCATGGCAAATAAAATAAATTTGATCTAATGTGAATCAATATGGAGGCCTCACCTGTGGCACACGTAGCAGGAGCGGTCTTTGTGGGTGGGACATCCCGTGCCTCCACCTATCCCATAAACGTACTGGTTGCTTTTTGAGGAGTTCTCTGCAAAATAGATCCCGGCGCCAAACATGCCGCCAATATAGGCATGTCGCTCGTCAAAGCCCTTATGAATGATGGCATTGATGAAGGGTGAACCTGGCAAGAGAAATTTTAATTTAAAATGGGAGAAAAGACATGTTCATATTTAGTCCATTACACAAAAATGAAAAGTAAAAATAGTGTCTCTAATGTTAAGTCTATATTCACCATCCGCTGCAGTTAGTACACCTCCCTTTTTCTAAACAGTGCTCTTCTCCAGACAGTGAATCACAAACAAAGTATAAAGAAGGCAGACTAGGTAGAGAGATCCAGATACTGTTTGACTAAGGTATTCTGGGAAAGATGTGATCCAAGACTCTCTGAACATACTATGATCGTTGGTGCCAGACGCACCATTTCAAGCATCACAGAAGCCAAACAACTTCCTGGGATTTTCTACTCGGTGACGTTTAAAGAAACAGAACACGACTGCAGTCCTGAGGGTTGTGTCCTGGCTGAAGCTTGTGGTTGAAAGGGGACATGGAAGATTAATGAGATTCGTTCAAGCTTTTGGTCAGGCTGCGAGACTGAAAACATTGCAGTACAAAGTGGAGTTCATCTCGGAGCACACCAATGTTGAACCTTGATGCTCAAGACCAAGCTGTGTTTTACTTCTGTCAACTAAGAAGAAGTGACTGGAGCTGCAGGGAAAATGTGATCAAAATGGCAATAAGGAGGAAAAGCTGTCACCAAGGAACCAGATTTTTAGGGCTGGCCCGAATGTCATTTGTTTTGAGCTTCGATAGTAATTAAGAGCGAATAATCAAATTTCAATTTATTATAGCAACTAAATGCTCTTCTTTTACAATCGTTTGTAATTTGTTGTGTTCATTATGTTGCTGTTTGTTTGTTTCCAACCAACCTACAGTTTAGCTACTGATTCATTTTAAACTGGACCCAAATATTTGACCGTTGGGTACACATTCGATTTTCAATTGAGATTCGATTATTGAGGGTTTTTTTCACCCACCTGACCTCTGCCGACAGCAGCAAACGTAACACTCCAGTTCACATCAAAGGGAAAACGAAATGAAGCCCTCAGCTGTGTGGGAGCACTTTAAACTGAGTGATGACAGCAGTAGTGTGGAAGTTATGGTGTTAAGTAATTTTACAATTGCTTAATTTCTTTACAGATCAAAACAGTCAAATTTCAAAAATCAGTATCAAACTGTAGGCTGGAAACAAACGGCAACAAAATGAACGCATTTAAATAAGCCTAATTATATAAGGCCAATTGTAGAAGAAGAGCATTTTGTCGCTATAATTAAAAGTGAATTTTGCATAATAATGTGTTAGATTTAGTTCTGCTACCGGAAACACCGCTCATCCCATGCACTCTCTGCCTGGACCCCCGCCCGGGGGGCAAAGCTTCGATTATTCGCTCTTAATTACTATCGAAGCGTTGAAGCTCAAAAAAATGACATTCGGGCCAGCCCTAAAAATTTTTACTGTTTTGATCTGGAATGAAATTAAGCAATTGTAAAATTAATAAATGGCATAACTGCCACACAACTGCTGTCATCACTCAGTTTAAAGAGAGCTGAGGGCTTCATTTCGTTTTCCCTTTGATGTAAACTGGAGCGTTTTCTTCACTGCTGTCAGTGGAGGTCTGGCGCACGAAAAAACCCTCAATCGAATCTCAAAATTGAAAATCAATTGTGTACCCAACGGTCGAATATTTTTACAGTCAGAAGAGTCTTAAGTGACTTTGTGAAGCTAAACTTCTCTGAATTTATACACAGCCTCTCCAACAGGTCAACAATTGCTTATCTGGCATGTCCATAGGGTTGCGTTTCCTTACAACCCCAAGTTACAGAACTGGTGACCATAAAGTGCCGAAGTAAAACTTCCAGGTCTCATTTAAACTCATGCTGACTGTTTGTGATAATGTAAACAACAAAATTATTCAGCCTTGTAACATAACCACAACAGTATACTGTGTGTTTCACTACATATGTCTATATATGGACTGAGGAGAAAAAAAAGATCTAATAATCTTGTTGTAACATCATGAATTCCGCCATCTATACCAGCCTTTGGTTTGCTTCATCCTATTCTACAACACTTTAACAGCTTTTGAAAATATGTAAAAATTCAACTGTTGGTTAAAAAAAACATAAAAATGAAGTCACAGCAAAGCAACAAGAACTGTTGAAATACTTTATAATATATAATATGAAGAGTAAAGCCATGCTGCTGAGTATCTACTACAGTATGTATCGTGTTCATTTACCGTGAAAGAGCATCCGCTCGTTGTGATGGTTGTGGTTCTCGTCTGCAATTTCCTTTTGTCTGTGTGCATATCTCTCCCGTAGTTTCTTATTCACCACTTTCTGAATCTGCAGAGAGGAGGAAAAGGAGGAACGGGGAAGAATTAAGAATTAAAATGTATTTGCAAAAGCAAAGACAATTTACTAACTATAAGTTAACGAAGTTCAAATTCTTATGTAATTCATAAAGGGAGAAAGGTGGTCTGTGTTGAGTACGCACCTTAATGATGTTGTACCGGCTGAAGACTCCACCTGCGTTGCCTCCATCACGGTGTTCTCTGATGGTGCTCTGTAGCTGAGGAGGAAACAGAATTTTTTTTTTCTGGACAATTAATCTCTCAGAGTTGATATCTGATGTTTCAGCCATTACTGACATTTGCCAGTTTATTAGGTACAGCAAACTAAAACGTGCAGTCTAATACAACAATCTGCAATAAATCCTCAGTTTTGAAACTGTTTAACAGACGTGTTGATTCAACTGCATGGTCATTTTTGAGGATGTTGTTTTGTTGTTGAACTGTATCGTATTAGTCAGAGGAGTTTGTAGTATTTAGCCAACCATCATTGATATAAACGGGGTGGACAAACCTTCATGAAGGTATGATTTATTGTAGGACTGTTGTATTAGACTGCATTAGTGTAAGTGTACCTAATAAACTGGCAACTTAGCGCAGAGGGAGCCATTTCTCGGAGATTAAGTAGAGCAGCAACTCATTCAATCATAGGAGATCCCTAAACAATGCCTGTGGGGAAATTTAGATCAGTGCTGCTGTAAAAGTGTGGCATCAGCAGTGAAAAAGACAGAAGTGAGCTCACAAAAGAAACAAGTTAAAGCTGCTGCAGCTGGATTTACAAAATGATGGAGCCATTTGAAGAAAGTATGCTGTGAATACAGTCTTATTTTAACATCCTAATGACTAAAATATTGGTTTGCAGAGACAGTGGCACTTCACCTGCGTTTTCTTGTATTAGAAATCTCTGCCTCTGAGATTTCGGTCATTTTTCAAGTTCAAGTACAGATTACAGTTTAAATTACCTGTTAAATTTCTCTGAACATCTGACGGTCCTCATTAATTTTAAACCCATTCACGCTGATATCTGCTGTCTCTTGGAATTACTGCATTCATTTACAAAAGAAATACAGTCAGTGGAGCAGTTAGACTGATATGGAGACTCTTGTTGCTGTGGTATTAATTGTGGTGTGTGTCTTCTGCCAGATGGCTTAAATTGATTGACATGCACACATTTACAATTTAAAACCCACCTAGAGAAGTTTCTGTGTAAATGAAGGGGTGTGTGTGTGTGTGTAAGTAAAAGTGTTTGCATACTTCCTCCTCTACAGACTGGAACTCCTTGTCGTCTGGTGCCAGGTCGATCAGCACGGTGCCCTGACTGGAGCAGTGGAATGTCAAGTATGGGTTTGCACCTACAAACACACATTTTGAAAATTACTTCTGGACATGATGAATCAAACAATACATGATAGTGGTGGTGGTGATGATGATGGTATTATCTGGCTTACAGGCCATTTATTTCAATTTCTGATCATAGTAAAAACCCCTCTGTGTGTCTACATGATGGCTTTGTTATGTAAGCACTGAAACATTTTAGGTCTAAGGCCGAATGAGCTATTTTTTTTAGCCATAAATTACATCTGTCTGAGGCTTACTATGTAGGACAACTTTACATTATCAGGATGACTTGCTTGTTTATGTTGAAGAAAATATATCCAAATCATGTTGTAACCTTTCCAATGTTATTTATTTTAAGATTAAATATTCAGTTCATTTCAATACATTACATGTTTGCATCATCCTTCCTCCAGGAACAGTCGTGTACCCTTTTTTATTTTACACATACTGTGTGTGCGTGTGTGTTTCCTGACCTTGCTGGCCGCCCAGCAGTCTCTCGATGCCCTTGATGAGTTTATGTCTGTGACCGTAAGCATTGATGCCGATCTCTTTCAGCTCTTCGTGACCCATGTCTGCCAGCACATCCAGCGAAATCTGCCCGGAAACGACAAAGAAGTCACGTCAGTCTTTCTCATGGTTGTTTCTGCTTCCAAAAAGATGTGCATTGCCAGAAAAATAGCATTTCATAATCATAATGCACAAAAACCTTTTCAGCGGTACTTCCAAATATACCTATATTGACTAAAGCAAATGTTGTTCTACTATATTTAACTTTAGACCTCTGCACACAAACATTACAATATAATTGTGGTAGGTAGGTCAACGGTAGGTCATGCTACTGATCATCAAAATTGCCAACAATCAACCCTGAGTTCAATGATCTAAGACATACTGCATAGACAATAGGTCTGACAAATATTCATGAGAGAAAGACAAAGTGGCGTGAAGAAAAGGTCAGTGAATGAATGGCAGTAATCAAGCCATTGATATGCAAATTGATGATGGTGAAATTGGTTAGTTTGTTCAGGAAGAGCAGATATGAGCTTCACACTGGAGGCAGAGATAAGTTTGTTTTTCAAACTGTAACCTTTACCTACTTTCCTGCATTGCTGTGATCACTGCGACAGGTGTAAATCATCAAAGCCGAAATACTCTGCTGGGAGACTACTGAGACGTGCTAACTGGAAATTTGTTTGGAACCAAAAGTTAATACAAGAATCCCTGATCCATTTCAGAAATCACAGCAAACTTGTGAAAACCTAACCTGTGTGATCTCTCAGAGCAGAACAGTTTGTCAGCCATTTTGATGTTAAACTAATAAGTCACACATCAGCCTGGTTGTCACCACTGGCTGGCGCTTCAAGCTGCCATCTTAAAAATTCATCAGTGATGAAAAAGCAGCATCAGAACATAAACTACTCCATCAAAAATTGATCTTAACAAAAGGGTTTTACTAATCCCCTGCTACAACAAACAAGGCTTTACGGAGGAAACAGGAGGAGAATTTACACCGCAGAAGTTTGATACAACTTATTAATCATTACAGCTGAAATAGGATGGGTTCTTTGGTTTTACTTTTAAAACAATATTGTAATCTCAACATAAGTATATATATAAATAAATGAATGGACGGATATCTATTTGTTTGTTTTAACTCTGAGCCTTGTTCGTGTTCCTTGAAAAACATTAAAAATGTAGTTTTCCATTAACAACCAGCTGACTCTCACCTCCATCGATGGCTTGTTTCCCTTTAGGGGGACCAATGAAACAAACGCTCACATCCTCCATATTGCTCTGCCTTCTATGCTTAGCTTTTTGCCCGCTGTCACCTTTCAAGTTCACTTTCTATTTCTGTCTCTCTCCTCATCTTGTTTTCTCTTTCTGTCACCCCACCCATCTCCTTTTCTGTCTTTCTATTTTCTTCATCTTTCTTCTCAAGCCTCTCTCTCTGCTCCTACTTTTTTCTCTCACTCTTCCCATTTGTCTCGGTCTACATCACCACCTCTTTCTGTACATGTCTCCCTTTTTTGTACATTAAAGTTTACAAAAGAACAAGACTAATAGTCTATAGCCACGCTATCAGCTCTGTGAGGCTGTCCTTTGGCATGGTAGTGCTTTGATCTGAATGCTAACATGCTCACAATGATAATGCTAACATGCAGATGCTAAGCAGGTACCATCATCACTATCGTAGTTTAGCGTGTCTTCCTCTATCTATCCCCCTTGCATATGTGTGCCTCTCCAGTTCTTCACCTCTTTTGCTGTTCCTTCTTACTTTTGTCTTCTCCCAGACATAAAAAAACCCAAAAAAAAACTGTGTGTGTACCTGTTCCCTCTGGAAGATGTCCCGGAGGTGTTCCAGCCCTACACTCTTCAAAAACTGGTTGATGGTCATGTCGAGCAGAGCTGCAGAAACACGGGGATGTCAGCTGAGTTATCAGAAGAGTCCCAGCAGTTACACATATTTACACCAACAACACCTACGTACGCATTTGTTTCCATTTTCAAAAGAACCAGTCCCCAAATTAGGATACAACTTGTGTTTGTACGTACTTTCTCCTTCCTTCCTGTCAGACCCAGATGCTCCGTCTGCTGGACCAGTGGCCCCACCCACAGTGATGTCACTGAGGGGCGTAGTCAGGTTGTCTATGCTGCTGGCTGCAGACAGGCAGGACGGGGATGGAGAGGGAGAGATGACCACGCCCCCTGCTGCACCTGCACTCACCACGCTTGAACTCACCACACTTGCACTCACCTGAGTGGGAGAGACATTTGGTCTGAATGGCCAATAACTCCACTTTCTTTGCTAAACTTGACTATACTTCCTATAACTTTTTACAGTGCACACACTAATTATCTCAACCACTTAAATGGCTTCTATTGTTTTCAGTTCAACTGACATTTCAACTTTAATGTGTAACTTTTCAACACTTTAACTGATTATTCAACTGCTTTCACCATCTTCAACTTCAAACTGAATTTTTTAATGCTCTCAGCCATTACACTTCAACTGATATCAGCTGTTTTAAACACTTAAAGTGATACCTCAGCTCCTTTTAAGTTGTACACGGCAACTTCAACTCTCACTTAACACTCACTGTAATGTGCTTCATCTTAAACTGAATTGATCTTCTTCTAGTTTCAACATATGTTGGCTGTTTCTTCTTACATAATAACACATAATATGGCCGCCACAGGATTCTGTTTCAGCCGAAAGCCTGTCTATACTTGTACGGTATGTACGTGTGGACACTCACCACAGTGGCCTGGGGTTTTAAACAGCTTGGCAGGGCATCTGGCGGCATGGCATCAATCAACAATGCTCTGATGTCATCAGCCTGCAACAGAAAGAATGACAAGATGCAGACAGACATGGTTTATGTACAAAAACATGATTGACTCTCCACCTAAAACAAACAGTTTGCTTGTATTTTTTGCACACAAAGCTGGGGGCTGAAATGACTAATGGGTAACTCTGTGAAAGACACCTGACACAATAGGTTCAAACAGTCTTTGGTCTTTTGCTTTTTCCCAAATTTATCCTTGCGACCCCCCGTGCTCTCCAATCCCGAGCCAATTACATCAAAGTAAATCAACTCACATTTCCAGTCACTGGACTGACAAATTAGGACATAAGAAGCTTTTTTAAAAACCAGATTACGTAACTTTAACTGAACTGTGGCCATAAATTACATTTACCGGATAATGCTAAATGCTAGACTACTTTTTTTTTTTTGCATTTAGCTAAAATGCTAAGCTATTGTGACAGTAACACAGTAAGTAGAGAAGAACAACAAAACACATCCACTAAACGAATGGTGGGAGCAGCTCCCTGCTCTGAGAAGTCATCCCACAGACCAACCTGTGACTGTGAATAATACACATCTAACATTTTCAATTTAGAATCAAATGATCCTTTTTCCCCCTCTTTTTTACTGTCTGCTCTGTTCTTTTATGCACTCTGCAGATGCAGTTGGATTATCCAGGTTGTTCTTGGAAGTGCACTACCAGTGTCTAGCTGGATTATTTTTCATAGTCAACAGGTACACAGAGCTATTGTCTGTTTCTTATAATCTGTAGCAGAAATGTGGGCTAATGTTAACAACAACACAAGCTTCACTTCCTGTGTACGTGAGCTGCAGTGACATGTCATTCTCTCAAACTATGGTACCTACAGTCAAACCCTTTTGGGAGGCTTCTTACGTAGCCTCATTAGGGTTCCACCTTCTAAAAGGTCTGCTCCACTGTCTGAATAGTTGACCATAATCGGCCAAACATGTTGACGCTAATGATATTGCCATGTGCTGACTCATAATGTGTGAGGCTCCTACTATTAAGGAATGAGGACCATACTGTAAACATACTGTTGCTAAGTCGAGTGGGGTCTGTCCCTCCTGGTTCTTCATTGTGGGATCGGCTCCATGGGCCAATAGCAGAGCGCAGAGCTGAGTCCGCCCCTTTTGGGCTGCTTCGTGGAGGGGCGTGAATGCCCACTTGTCAGTGGCATTGACGCACGTGTTGTACTTGATCAGCAGAGCGGCTATGTCCACGTGCTAGGAGAGGAGATAGAGGTGAAGAAGAGGAAGGAGGCAGTGAGAGTAGAAGACAGAAAATAAGAGAGGAGAGGAGGTGGTGAGAAAGAGCCAACAGCAATAAACACATTTAACAAGAGCAAATGTGTGAAGTATGGTGAATGAGCACTATAAAAATCGTGATCAGAGAAACTGTAATATGTGGGATTTTCTGGAACAGAAAACATGTGAATTATTAACTCCATCATGATTCTTGTTTTCCCGCCGGTCTGTCCTGTTCTTTTCCCTCATCGTCTGTCTCTAGCACTTCTCTTAGCGTCAAACACAATGTAGCTTGTTTCTGGGTACCAGTGGGGGATGCAAAAGTGTGTGTGTGTGTGTGTGTGTGTGTCTCCAATACGCACAGCTCATCAAGTTTTCATTCAAACATGTGTTTCGTGGCTGGTTCAGTAGCAGAATGCTATTGAGCTATAAGTAAAATTTGACTAAGCGATAAAGGACTGTAGAGGAAGAAAAGCAACATACATGCACTTCAGATAACCTAAGTATAATAAAAATGTTAATTATTATTTAAATGAGGAAATAGGGTGGGAATAAGTAATATTATTACTGTCCCATATAACAAACAGAATAAAAATATCTGCAGACATCAACTGCCCCATCAGCACCAAGTAGACATAAGCTACAAATTGAGATTTTGCTGTATCATTCCCACATTTAATATTAAAGCCTCATAAGAATTTATAAATGTCGCCTAAACTTCATGAAGGGAGAAAGGAAAGGAATTCTTTTCATTCATTTTAAATAAATCAGTCTATAAAATGTCAGCAAATTGTGAAAATAGTCAATAAGTTCCCAGAGACCATGGTGATGTTGTCAAATTGCTTCTTTCATCTAACAGTCCTAAAACCCAAAGGTATTCAAATTAATGACACAATTAAATTAATAATTTACAGAGAAAATCACCAAATCTTCATGTCAGCAGCTGGAACCAGTGAAGGTATGTTTATGCTTTAGAAATATATAAACAATTAATCAATTATCAAAATTAGTAGCCAATAACAGCAGCACCTCTGAACTGAACTCCAGTCAACAGTGCAAGTGAAGCATGTGTGTTTGTGTCTTACCCCGTACGAAGCAGCATTGTGTAAAGGTATCAGCCCTCCTTTGTCCTGAGCATTCACGTCGGCTCCGTGTTCCAACAGATACTCTGCTACCTCCAAGTTGTTATAGCCAGCTATATAGGTTGTATGGAAAAGACAGCAGGATGGAAGGAAAGACGATGGATGAGAGATAACAGAGGAAAAGAGGAGAAACAAAAATGGAGGAGGAAATAAAGAGAGAAAGAAAGAGCGACAAGTCAGCCTACATCAGCAGCAGCGTGACAGTGTATAATCATCTTATCCTTTTACAAGCAAGTACATGAAGGCAGAGGGTACGTGGGTGTGTGTGTGTGTGTCTAAGTGGTCAGATCTATGTAGAAAAAAATAAATTCACAGACCGTCAAAGTGTTTTTCAGCAGTTTCTTAACTTTGAAAAGTGCCAGCAAAACATTTCTTCATTAAGATATACTTTATCGTAGAAAAGACAGTCTGGTCATGCCATTCTCGATAAATACAGAGTCTAAAAACGCTGGCAGGTCCAGAAGAAGAAACTGCAGGAAAAACATGAAGAAGACTGAAAGATAGGCAGAGGCATTTACCTTCAACCCTGATAACCCCTGTTGAAATCCAAATTCACAAGTTTTCCACTGGGGAGTGACTTCTCTTATGGCCAAGACACCATGCTTTATTCTAACTGTAGCAAACTTTGTCATGTGAAAAACAAATTGGTGTTCACCATTTATACAGTTATCAGGAATATTCCTCTCTGGTGCATGAAAATAAGGTTAGGTTAGTTAGGTTAGTTAGCTCTCAGAGCAGTGGATAAGACACATTCCTTTGGTGTGAGAGACCTGGGTTCAATCCCCCACTGTGACACATCCACCATTGTGTCCCTGAGCAAGATACTTCATCCTAGTTGCTCCAGAGGCATGCGACCTCTGACATGTATAGCAATTGTAAGTCGCTTTGGATAAAAGCGTCAGCTAAATGAATAAAAGGAAAAGGAAAGCTGTCGATACCAAACAAACAAAGACTTACCGCTCTGGCTATCCGCCTAAAGGGAGAAGCAGAAGCCAGGAGAATAAATCGATGTTCTCCACCGAACCATCCAAACTGTACTCTCAGTGGCAGGTTAAAAACACAAGATCAGATCCACCCAGGGCTGAGACTGAACAGTACTGGAAGAACATATGGGAGAAAGAGGCATCCCACAACACCAATGCTCAGTGGCTAGTGGATCTAAGAACAGATCACTGCAATCTCCCAGAACAAGATCCAGTAACCATTATAACGGCAGACATCCAAGACAGAGTGGCAGGTATCAAGAGCTGGACAGCACCAGGCCCTGACTTGATCCCCACCTACTGGCTGAAGAAACTAACTAAACTCCATGAACACCTGGCAGCACAAATGAACCAACTGCTGATGGATGGAACCCACCCAGAATGGTTAAGGATCCCCAGAAGGGAACAATCCCATCCACCTACCGGCCAATAACCTGCCTCTATACAACAACTGTCAGGCATTATAGTGGCTAAGATGAGTAGCCTGCACATGGTTCAATACATGGACAGAGCCCAGAAGGGAATGGGTAGTAATACGAGGGAAGCCAAGCACCAGCTACTGGTTGATAGAGCAGTCACTCGAGACTGCAAGACCAGGCAGACCAATCTGTGCACCGCCTGGATTGACTACAAGAAAGCCACGACTCAGTGCCACATACATGGATATTGGAATGCTTGGAAATGTACAAGATCTACAGGACACTAATAACCTTCATCAAGAACTCAATGGGGCTGTGGAAAACAAGTCTGGAAGCCAACTCAAAGCCAATTACACAAGTCACCATCATATAGCATATACCAAGGCGATGCACTATCCCCGCTGCTGTTCTGCATAGGCCTGAACCCCTTCAGCCAGATCATCACAAAGACTGGCTAAGGATACCGGTTCCGAAGTGGAACAACCATCAGTCACCTCCTCTACATGGATGACATCAAGCTGTATGCCAGAAATGAGTGAGACATCGACTCACTGATTCACACTACCAGGATCTACAGCAACAACATTGGAATGTTGTTCGGACTGGACAAGTGTGGTCGCATGGTATCAAAAAGAGGGGATTGAACTACCAGAAGGCCACATTGCAGATGTTCAGGACAGCTACAAATACCTTGGGGTGCTGCAGGCTAACGGAAACCATGAGGAGGCAGCAAGGAAGTCCGCCACAGCCAAATACCTACAGAGAGTAAAGCAGGTCAGCTGAATGGGAAAAACAAGATCCGAGCCATCAACACATACTTCAGATACCCCGCTGGTATAATAAACTGGCCAAAGGAGGAGATAGAGGCTACTGACATCAAGACAAGAAAGCTCCTCACAATGCATGGAGGGTTTCACCCCAAATCCAGCACCCTGAGACTGTACACCAAGCGTAGCGAGGGAGGCTGAGGGCTAGTGAGTGTCAAGACCACTGTCCAGGATGAAACGACAAAGATCCAAGAGTACATCGGGAAGATGGCCCCCAAAGATGGAGGGCTTAGAGCCCGTGTCCACCAAAGCGATTTTTGCCAGCTGAAAACGCCACCTGCTGTTCTGAAAACGCTTAGCTGGGAGCGCTAGGGTGCGTTTTGGAGCAGTTTTTCAAGATGCTGTGGTTGCTATGATACATAATTTCAGTGGAGGCAATGTGTTGCAAGTAGGGTGGCCTACTTAATTTTAATGAATGTAAAAATGTCACCACAAAGTATGTAGGCCTACTTGCTCTGGCCCTTGCTCTGCATGAAGAGAAGGCTGAAACATGAGAGCAGAGACTGTCCATACGTGGGTTCATGAGATTTTGCGGGTGAGGAAACACCTCGGTGAGTAGGCACATCGCTTCTTTCAAGATCGGATGTGCTCGGTGCGGTGTTTGTCACACCCCTTCTGCACTGTGATTGGACAGCTGGGTAGCTGAGCTACTGAGCGCAGCGTTTTTCCCAAAGTTGAACATTTTTCAACTCTCGGCGACCAGCTTGGAAAAACGTGGCGCTCCCATTGCAATGAATTGAAAAAAGAAAACGCTTTGGTGGGCCCTTAGTGAATACCTCAGGCAGCAGAAACCAGAGGGTGAGGACAAGGAAGGTGAAGAACCTTCAGCACCCCAGGTGCAGACTGTGCAAGGATGCCCCTGAGACAGTACAACACATAACAGCAGAGTGTAAGATGCAGGCAGGAAGTGCGTACACGGAACGCCATAACCAGGTAGCTGGCATAGTGTACAGGATCATCTGCCATGAGTATGGACTGGAAGTCCCAGGGTCAAAATAGAAGACACAACAGCAACAGTGGTGCCAGTGGTAATCGGAGCACTGGGGGCTGTGACCCCCAGACTGGGAGAGTGACTACAGCAGATTCCAGGTAAAACATCAGAGGTCTCTGTCCAGAAGAGTGCAGCCCTAGGAACAGCTAAGATACTGCGCAGAACTCTCAAACTCCCAGGCCTCGGGTAGAGGACCTGAGCTTGAGGATGACACATTCCACCCCGCAAGGGGTGAGAGGGGGATTTAAAAAAAAAATATTTATTAGGGCTGAACCCAAATAGTCATATAGTCACATAAAATGAGATGCACATGAATCATGCTAATCTGTAATAAAAAAAAAGAATGGGGGGGGGGGGCAGGACCTGGCCTAGTGAAATGCAAAGGATCTAGGTAGACGTGTGTAAAGTTTTCTTCCTTTCTAAGTATCAAGGATGTTCGTTTACGCTCAGCTGCCAATTCCACACCTGCGCAGTGTGTACCACAGGCGCTCTCGCGCATCAGTGGTACGTAACGTGTTGGGCAGTAATAGGTCTACTGCAAAATTACTTTTCCCAGTAAAGAGTAATGTAACGGATTACCATTTCCAAAACAGTTGTATTATTACAGTTACTAATCCAAGTAAGGCTGCGCTGCTGAACGCACTATCCCGACGTGAATGCGCGACCGCGCTGCAGCTCAGCAGCCCCGGACCTTATGTTGTTAAAGTCAGCTGTTAGCCAAGAAGCTAAAGGACAACTGGAGAACAGGAAGAGAGGTATTTTCGACAGCTGTAAGTAACGTCATTGCCATTACTGTGTCACAGTCTAAGATGCAAAGAACATCGTCTTCCGTTGTAAACTTTGTGCGACCAGCAAAAAGTTTTCAACCGCGAACAGTTCTACAGTTCTACTTAGGCTAATTGAAGCATCAGCTAAACAACACAGCAACGTGAAACTCAGAGAGAAACTCCGGCCGCTGCTGCCAGTGATGCTTGGACTCATTGGGAGAGAGTGGCGTTATATCACCCAGTAATAAATAGGCTAGAGTAGCTAATATTACTTTTTTAAGGAGTAGGTCTATAGCCTATGCTAAGTAACTAGTAGGTAATATTATTTCTGAGTAACTTGCCCAACACTGAGTTGACAATAAGGATCAGATAAATTGGGAATGTTTTGATTATTGCTTGTTAGAGGCTATGTCTAATGTTTACTTTGACTTTGTTGTCTACTGATCACTCATGTAGCCACTTAGTACACTTTGCTGTGTAAATGGTTGCTTTTTAAGTCGTCCTTATGTTAAAGGTTTTGGCACGTTATTAATTAATTTCTTGTGATTGGTTGTGACAAGGTTTAGGCAATATAAGGCCTTTTCACACGGGTTGCTCCGCGCTGCTCATCAACATGCAAACAAGCGCTCCGCGAGGTAACCATGTCAACAGCTTCTGTGTGACTGGCGCGATCCCGTTAAACTGTTGGTCGTCTCACGCACACGCCCGCCCGCTGCCAGAGTTGAAATGTCAAACTTTTTCCTACAGTTTATAAACAGATAGAGGCTGATCAGCTGTTTGAGTTTCTTTAACAGTCAGGCCACCAGGTCTTAAACAGGCAACAACCTTTGCTGCTGTCTCTTATTCATTAAAAATCATCTATTAACTTCAACTGAACTAATTTGAAAGTTAGTAGTTATTTAGTTATAGACATAATTATTTCATGTTTCATGTTGCACATTTAGCTGTTGACGTTTGGCAAAAATGAATACAAAATAATAATTATTATAGAGAGGTTGCGATGGCGCAGTGGATTAGACCCTTGTCTTGATTCCCATTGCAACACATCCATTAAATAACTTATTATCATGGGTCCTGCTTTACCTAGCATGTTAGAGCCACCGCCAGTTTCATCAGGGTGTCGGGTGGTCTCAGTATATTTTCCTGCTTTTTTACCCTTTGCCAATCACATGCCTGATTTGCCTTTCCCCAATAAACTTAATATACAGCCGATTACAATATACATGTCAATGTTTAATGCTGTAAATAAACATGTAAAAAGAAAAAAAACTTTCAATAAATGTTTTTAGAGTGTGTGAATAAATCCAAAATTGTAACCCTAACCCTGTCAGTGCGCATGTTTAGGCGTAGCGTGTGTATAGTGGCAGTGGAGGAACACTTGTTGAAGAGACTGAGCCACAGCTTCACCTCTGTTGTGGCGAGTTGCCCACACCTCGCGGGACTTTTGGATAATTTCTCACCGTTGATGAACCACACAAAGAATATTATATCGTTTTTAAATAGCCGGCTACTTGAAATAGACCCACAAGGAGCTGGCAGCACGACATGCACGCAAAACTCTGCATAAGACCGGTGAAGGGCAGGCAAGAGAGAGTTTAGCTTCGCCTCGCAATCGCCATGCACAAAAACACATGATTCGACTATAGGCATGAAGTACAAGTGTGTTACTTGAAAAAATGTAGATATAACTTTTTGAACCATTGTCCATCCTACAACCACATGGTTCTGTTACAATGTCAACAATTACATCAACTGGTCTTCATTTAGGAGCTCATTCAGATTCTAAATGGTTATCAAAAATCACTGTTGTCTCTTCCCGCCTGTCTATGAACAAGGTGTTTTTGCCCTCAAGACTTTAGCTGTCTGGATGTGTTTATTGGCACTGCACAGAGCCAACATCCCAGGAGGTCAGCTTTTTCTGATATGCTGCAGGCAGAGTGATTGGCGCTAGCAAATGTACCACGTCCAAAGTGGCTTATATCCTGCAAACCTCAGCCAAAACAGAAACTAAAAACCTCTGGCTTCATCCGTCATTTTAATGTGTCTGCAAAGTTAACTTAATCAGGGAGGTGTTTACTTTAAATTATATGTGAACGTGTGTCTTGTGTGTGTAGCTGCTTGTTTGGTGTTTCTACATTCAAATTACCTGCAAGGTGCAGAGGTGTTGAGTTGCGTCCCTGTGTATCCCGACAATTAATATTGTCGGGACTGCATAATTTCTGCACCCTGGCCAGGCAGCCTTTCTTTGCGGCATCCAGCAGCGCGGCGTCTCCTCTCAGCAGGTCCTGGATGTCGGTGTCCCCGTCCTTCACCAGGTCCAGAGGCGTGTTCCCGTCTCGGTTCTTCTTGGTGGGGTCCGCCCCGTGCTGGACAGAGGAGGCAAAAAAAAGCAGATGTTCAGTGTAAAGGCAAGAAAACAGCCAGATAGGTTAAAGAAATGTTTATGCGTCGTGTGTCCATGCACACTACCATCTGTAAGGTAGACAGTGTTTGCAATCAAAATGCAGAGGTTAATCTGTCTTACAAAGACAACATTTAATGACTGAATGTTGGTGCAAAACATTAGCTATCACTGAATTCATATCAGTCCTTAAAGTCCCGTTTAAACCCCAGTGGAAGAGTTTCACTTAGACGAAGACAAGTGACGAGTGAGAAGTGGATGAAGGTAATTCACCAGAGAGAAGAAGCGAGGGAGACGAAAGGAGGTAGAGAGATGAGGACAGGACATCCAGTGAAGTAGAAAACACCACATACTCTGGAGATTGGCGGTGGGAGCAGACATTTTCATTGCTCAACTGTCTCCTAGGTTACGATTTAACTTGTCATTTCATTTTAAGTTTTGAAATCTGCTCGTTAAAAATTTGATTTTGTGGGACCACTCTCCTGGGTGTCCACTGCTGGCCTCAAACTGTCTGTTATCCATGTCTCATGTCTGTATTCCCTTTTTTAAAGGTTTCTTTTTAACCTATCCATGTTATTATTTTTCTGCCCTACTTCATGACTCCATTTCTATTATCTCTTAGCTGCTGATGTAATCACATTCCCACTGTAATTTATTCTCTATCCAGGAAAATTAGAATACAAACCCATTTAAGTAACAGTTGGGGGCATTTGCATATAAATAAATCTTGGTTTTGTTACTCTTCCACTGGATTCAGCCTATATTCAATTCAATTCTCCATTTACAGGAGTGAACAATTTTGAAACCTGTAAGCTCTCTCTTGTGAACAATTATCTGACTCATAGGAGGTAATGCATTTTAAATGTTTGATTTGTTCACAAACAAAACACGGTGTAGGGAGTGTAAGGCCATGCTAATGGCTCTGAGCCACAGTGGTGCTTAGATCTGGGCATGCTAACATGCTCAAAATGACAATTTGCGGCCTTCCATACTTACTGTATTGTACTGCTAATTAGAGTGCATAAGTGCGTTCACAATAACAAGTATGGCAAAATGCTGTGCACTATGAGTACCTGGATGGTGTACGTATAATGGTCAGTGTGGAAGGCTGGAAACTTCTCAACCTCAATGGTCGCCATCTTGGCTACATAACAAAAGGGGGGGACCATCAACTTATTAACTTTCCAAACCTGTGGAAATGGTGGCAGAGGAAGCTGCAGCAGTTGCAATTGCACACACAAGCATGTAAAAGTATGTTAATATTTAATTAAATTTAAATGAAGTGAGCAAACAAACCTGGCAGGTGACAACCGTGGGCAAATGCTGGCGATAATGATCCACCCGGTTACAACTTATATAAGAAGACGACGAACAAGAAGAAACAGTAAGTGCACTGCGGCAATGTTCGATTTGAGACAACACTAACCTGTCAAAATTCACGTACTAGGCAAGTACTGATCCTCAGGAGCAAAGTGGTGGACTGACAAACACAAACAGGATTGGGTATTTACCGTGATCAGTGACGGCCACAATGACAGAACAAACAAAAGAAAGGCTCAAATTTCATCAACAGAAACTCCCAACAAAGAGAGGTCACACTGCTTGACTGATAGTTGTTCTCTTGCAAGGCGATAATATATCCAGCCAAGATCATGTCATGCGAGTTCACGCATTACTTGGTGAGTGCTAACGAGACAGATTCTTCTTTAATTGAGGAGAAAATCATTATGTTCTTTCACTTCTTTCCTAACAAAGAAAATGCTAATGAGCGTTTTGTATATCTCGGAAGATCTCAACAGAATATCACAGCGCTGGGAGAAAATGCAGCAGAGTGTTATTCTGAGCACAAATCCACACAAAAAAGGGACAATAGAAAGTTGACAACAAACAAATGAGACAAAGGAAGACCTACTGCTGAACTCTGGAATAGTTTATTCATAAAGAGAGAACAGTTAAACCCTGAGGCCATGGCAGATTAACACTGAAGTGCAGCAACACTGTGTATACATAACATAAGCTCAAAATCCAACTGAAATTTGCAGGTGTGAGAATTTTTTAACCAGAGTTTCTAACCACCTTGAACAATCGAACTGCGTCTCTAACCTCTCAGCCTAAAGACCTCTTATTGCGTCATCAGATCAGTGAAAGTGAGGCAGAGGGAGCTGCCTTATCTCTGACTGGGATTTATCTACACCCGAGGCTACAAGCGCCGACCTTGAGGAATACCTTTCATCTGCTGCTGCGTATATAAGGATAAAGCTAATGACAAGGGGTGACGGGCACTTACAGCCAGATATGCTCTGAAAGGAATACAAAAAAAGCCCATCACTGAGGTTACACCAGACGAGGATGAACAATCGCCTGTATTGAACTCCCACTTCGTTAAGCGAGCCTTATGTTGGATGAGCACAAACAAAGCTGCTGAGGCAGATGGTGTTCCTGGACATGTGCGACTGACCAACAACAGTAGCCCCAGTCTTTCAAAACATTGTAAATATCTCACTGTTGCGGATCAAAGTTCCCACTTGCCTCAATTTAGCAACTATTAATGGGTCCTCTAAGGAAAGTGTTGGGCCATCACAAGTCTTCAGAACAGTTGTAAAAGTCTCTGGAACTCTACTGTAGGGACTGACATGATTACTCCCAAAGATACTCGCTCAATTTGTGATGTTGATTGCAGAGGGTGCTAAGATGTCGGTCCAAATTATCCTAAAGGTTTTCAATTCAACCATTCAGTGACCCGACCCATTATGCTCTCTGAAAAGGAAGCATCCGCATTTATAATATTTCTCTGCTCATTTAATCAGGTTTTTCTTTGCAACCAATCCATGTTAATCAAGTGCCAAAACTATCAACTCATCCTCATAATCATACTGAAAAAGAAAAAAACTCTTTCCCCCATTTTGGATCACTATCAGTTTGCCTATAGGGCAGTCAGGTCAATGGTTAACAGTGTTTCACTTGCCTTTCACACATACAGGTGCTGGTCATATCATCAAAAAGTTGATTTATTTCAGTAATTCCATTCAAAAAGTGAAACTTGGATATTATATTCATTCATTACACACAGACTGATATATTTCAAATGTTTATTTCATTTAATTGTGATGATTAAAACTGACAACTAATGAAAATCCCAAATTCAGTATCTCTGAAAATTAGAATATTACTTAATTAATACGAGTATGAACATGAAAAGTATGAGCATGTACAGCACTCAATACTTAGTTGGGGCTCCTTTTGCCTGAATTACTGCAGCAATGCGGCGTGGCATGGAGTCAATCAGTCTGTGGCACTGCTCAGGTGTTATGAGAGCCCAGGTTGCTCTGATAGTGGCCTTCAGCTCTTCTGCATTGTTGGGTCTGGCGTATTGCATCTTCCTCTTCACAATACCCCATAGATTTTCTATAGGGTTAAGGTCAGGCGAGTTTGCTGGCCAATTAAGAACAGGGATACCATGGTCCTTAAACCAGGTACTGCTAGCTTTGGCACTGTGTGCAGATGCCAAGTCCTGTTGGAAAATGAAATCTGCATCTCCATAAAGTTGGTCAGCAGCAGGAAGCATGAAGTGCTCTAAAACTTCCTGGTAGACGGCTGCGTTGACCTTGGACCTCAGAAAAGTGGACAGTGGACCAACACCAGCAGATGACATGGCACCCCAAACCATCACTGACTGTGGAAACTTTACACTGGAATTCAAGCAACGTGGATTCTGTGCCTCTCCTCTCTCCCTCCAGACTCTGGGACCTTGATTTCCAAAGGAAATGCAAAATTTATTTTCATCGTCTTGCATATGTCTGTGCGTGGTGGTTCTTGAAGCACTGACTCCAGCTGCAGTCCACTCTTTGTGAATCTCCCCCACATTTTTGAATGGGTTTGTTTCACAATCCTCTCCAGGGTGCGGTTATCCCTATTGTTTGTACATTTTTTTTCTACCACATCTTATCCTTCCCTTCGCCTCTCTATTAATGTGCTTGGACACAGATCTCTGTGAACAGCCAGCCTCTTTAGCAATGACCTTTTGTGTCTTGCCCTCCTTGTGCAAGGTGTCAATGGTCGTTTTGTCGTGGTGTTTTGAGTTAATTAGCTGATTAAAGTGTGGCACCAGGTGTCTTCAAAATTGAACCTTTTCACAATATTCAAATTTTCTGACATACTGATTTTGGGGTTTTCATTAGTTGTCAGTTATAATCATCAAAATGAAAAGGAATGAACACCTGAAATATATCAGTCTGTGTGGAATGAATGTATACATTATACAAGTTTCACTTTTTGAATGGTATTACTGAAATAAATCAACTTTTTGATGATATTGTAATTACATGACCAGCACCTGTACTGTATTAAAAAAAAAGTTAAATAATAGATTTTACCTCAGCATTTTCACACTCTTATTATTAGCTAGGTAACGTCGATAAAACAGGCCTCAAAGCACTCAAAGGGGGTTGTGCCCATACTATTGTCAGTAACACTAGCAACAGAAGAAAAACACCATGCTGGCTGTAATGTGTGTCCACTGAGTTTGTACCAAATTTGATAAATCCAAGTTTCTTCATTACAAATTAAACAACATTACAGTTGACAACTTCTTTTTTCATCTCCATGTGATGCCAGTGCCCTGTTGTTAAGCTGGTCTCTTTGCTTTCCACATGCCACCAACAACAGGCCAAAATCCAAAGATATTTAACTAACAATAGTAAGGGTTCCATCCAAATGTAGCACAAACCTTTTCTGAATTTCCACAAAACTGACAAAAGAAATGAATTAATGTGTGTTTCCATCCACTACAGTTGAATGAATATAAGGAGATAAACAGTTTGTGGCACTAATTCAGGTGTCATCTGTCAATGGTGGCAGTGGTTTAATGGCACCAGTCAGGTGCCATTAAACCACTGCAGCAGAAGAGAGCATAACGAGATGATGTAATTAAAAGAATGCCAGTCAAACCTCAAGCAGTGGGATAGCATTTGGGAAACATGGTGGAAATACGGCATTTATGTTTGTTTCATGTATTCATTTGAGGAACACTACAGTCTCCTCATTGCTCCACACAGATCTGATGTTTTGGTCTGTTGCAGTTTAGTCATAATTTATTCACCAACTCTGTTACCATTGCACTTTGTTGCATCTTGTTTTTATCAATACATCAACTTTTCCACCTCAGCCAAGCGTAAGAACAGCAAATCAAAAATGTGCACAATAACCGGTGGATGGAAACATATGGACATAACATAGAAAAGCAGGGAATTCTCACACATGAGAAGCTGGAGCCAGCAGACATTTGTGATTTGTGAGCAATCACCCCGACACAAGCCTGTGCATGTCTGTTCTCCAGTGCTCTGTACGGACGCACAGAATAAAAAAGAGCTTTTTCCCCAAGAGCTGTCACCTTCCTTCACACTGCCCACTCCCCTCAACCACAGCTGTCACCCCAGCAACTCAACTGCACCATACACCGCATACATTCACACTCGCTGCATCATCACACTTTGTTGCTGCCAGCACTGCTCAAAGGCAGTTAGCCTCAAAGTGATTAGTGCTTTTGTCTAGTTTATCAGCCTGACCATGTCAATCTCACAATAAATTCTCTAGTTGCCCTACTTCTTTATTTCATATGCTGCTCTGTACTCACATAAATGGTTATGCAATACAGTTTATTGCAGTATTTAACCGACTACGAGCATTAAGTGTTGGCTCTCACGCTGTCCTTGTACAATTCTAATTTCAACTTTTATTACTCTGGTTTTGTAAGTATTTAAAATCCTATTGTTTTATTTTCTTCATTGCATCTGATGCAGACTGCTCTGAGCATAATCTCCCTATGCAACAACAGTAGAGGAATTCTGAATTCCAAGAGTCGAAGCGGCACATTTTGCCGGCAGTTGATGTGTGTTTGGTTTGCCGTGTGCGTTCATGTGCGTGAATTCAACAGTGTTGATCTAATAATAATTTATGCAGCCCCGTATGGTAACAACACAGTGGGTGATGTAGCCTAGTCTGGAGGTTGTTGTGAAGGTTGTTAGGAAAAACAATACATATTGAGCTGTGAAACTGCAACATTTCACAGGACACATTTAGGCTCCACCAGATGTGACAAACAGGTATTTTGCAACAGATATTCTGGTCAGAGTTTATCCCAACTGGGCTGAAAACAGCCAGAGAGCATGACAAGTCATACCAACTCCAAAAAAAGGAAACTAATGACAGTCGTTTCAGATCCATACTGTTTTTGTAACACACAGTATTTACAGGGCATACAAGGTGCCAGATGTGATTTATTGCATCAGTAAGATTTTATGTCACCACCTTTTTTATTAAATGGCAGAACAGATTATGGAGTTTCACTGAGACTGTGAAAATGTGTGTTTACAGAGCCTTAAAGCTACACCAAGAAAACTGCAGCGGAATTTAAATGTTTGAATCGTGCAGACTTCAACATACCCAGAAGTCCTGTTTGGTAACTGCAAACAGCATGCTGGCGTTTGCAAACAGGGCTGGTGTGACGTTTTATACCAGGTGAACCAAAGAGACAACAAAGGGCAAACATGTGACACTAGTGAGCCCAGCTCGTCACAGGAGTCTCCCCAACAATCCAAAACCCAATAATATTAAAAGATTTTCAACATCCGAAATACATTTTTGCCAAATAAAGTGTGAGTGGAGGTCATACTCCTCTACATTGAGAACCAAGCGTTTTATCAAAAGTTTCTTTCTACTAAGGTTGCGCATGCTTAAACATTTATGCACATTATTTGTGGTGCTGAAAGTGTTAGGAGAGGAAAATGCAGGACAGACCTTGAGAAGCAGTTTGCAGATCTCGTATTTGCCCTTGGCAGCGGCTTCATGGAGCGGCGTGAACTTCCACAAGTCGGCCACGTTGACCGAGGCTCCGTGTCTGACCAGCAGCTCGGCCACCTCATAGTGACCGTATGAACAGGCGTTATGGAGGGGAACCAGACCACTGTAACGGGACAACAACAGTTACACATACACACACAGTGAATTTGTTTTTTTTAGAAATTCTTATATTACTTTCCATGACTTTTTCGTTATCAAGTTAACCAAAATGGATCAAAATATGTCTGTAAATGTGTACTTTTATTCTTGCCAAAAATTAAACAACAACTGAAGTGCCACACCCTTTGTCCTTTGCGTGCACGTCGGCCCCGTGGTGCAGCAGGTACTCCACCACTGACACTCTGTTGTAGCCAGCAGCAAAGTGAAGGGGCGTGGAGTGTCGTCCCTCTAGATCTCTACAATTCACATTCTGGGCCGTACACAACGACTGGAAAAAGAAAGCGATAATGAGGGAAGATTAAAATTAATATCTGCTTTCAAATTAAAGAGCTGATCTACCAAAGAGCCATGAAGAAATAAATCTCCAATCTATGGCTACATAACCAGTCATTATAAATTCAGATTTATTTAGCTTTTGAGAGACAAAGTTCTTCTGGGGAAAGATAAGATCTCAAGATTAGATTGTTTCAAGAGGTTTTTCATCAAGTACAACGAGAAGGCAGTTTTTTTAATGTTCAAGTGCATTAACACCGTTTTCTTAATGAAGATGGATAATCAGCCGAAATAAATAATCAAGATATCAAGAATGAGAGAAGAAAAAAGCGACTTGTAGGACACTGGACATCAATTTTCTTTAATAACTGGGGGAAATAAAATATAATTTACATACAAATATGAACTGCTTTGAATTGACAAGATTTAGCCTTTCTTTCTAAGCAAAATAATTTTCTTCTAAACTGGCGTTACTGCTCATATATTGTCATGTTAATTACATGAGATTTTAATTAGAAACAATTTATGTTGTGGGTAATTTCATTATGTTTTGTAGCCACAATAGGTCCAGATTCCCTGACATTTCTTCTAGCACCACCATGAGGTTCACATTTGTACATCCAACAATAATGACTTTAGTGCTAATTAGCAAATTAGCATGCTTACACATTAAAATAAGATGGTGAACATGGTAAACATTACACCTGCTAAATATCAGCATGTTAGCATTGTCATTGTGAGCATGCTGACATTAACTTTTAGCTTAAAGTACCTCTATGCCCACATACAGAACTGCTACCATGGCTGTAGATTCTTGTTAAACCTAGGCCAGATCTACAGTAGCCTGAAACTGACAAAATATAAATACATTTTCCCTAAAATAAGCTAGAAAATTAAGACAAAACATCTTAAATAGAAACATCTTGTGAAGAGTTGATCATACTGGTCTATCACCCGGACTAAAAAGTTTACATCATCCTTTTTATTCCCTAAAAAAGCCAGCCAATGATCCGAAACCACCATCAAACAAGACACACAGTACTTCTGAGAGATAACAAGAAAGAGAAACAAACATAGAGAAGAAAGAGAAAAACTGTTCCTCTATCATGATTTATGATGAAAAATATGTCAGTGGAATGAAATACATGAAAACGGTGGTTTTAGAGAGCAACAACAACAATATTGAAGTTATTAACTGAAGTTGGGGGGACAAAATCCACTTCTGCCGAACTGTGGCAGATGCCTGCTGTTCACAGAAAATAACAGCGCTACTTTCCTGTTATTTCAGACTCAATTACACCTTATAGCTCAGAACTGAAATGAGACACGGTGGGAAATGTATTTTAAAGTTTACTTCCGCCACTCTCTGGGATCGTATTTTGCGGGCGGCGAATCCTGCTGGCAAACTGATTCCTCAATCTTAAGCCATTATCTCTCACTCCAATTGCCACTGAGCAGCGTTGCTGTCGTTCATGCATGCAGTTTCCTGTGAAAAACATATTTTTGAACGAAAACGAAAATATTTTTATTTCCTAAAAATCATCAGCTTCCATGTTCCCATGACATTTTATAGACTATAAAATAATAATTGACAGATGACTTGAGAAAATAATTGGCAGATTAATTGAAAATGAGAAGAAACCTTAGTTACAGTGACATCAATGAACCCAAACAATAAAGTTGCAGGTCGAAAAGTTTAAGAGAGCTGATAATTCTCTGTGGGTTCATCACTATAAGTGAACCCTTTCACATAATGTGATTACATAAACATCAATTTTAGACGCTACACATCATACAAAGTACAAAGATAAGATCTGAAAATACAGTAAATATAGTTGTAGCCTCTGTATTGTGGAGCAAGAAATAACAGAGTACATCATTCATAACGGCATTTACTACTTCAAATGAAGTAGAAAATGATTGGCCTTTCTTTGACATGTCATCTAGGGTGATCTCTCTAGCAGTTCAGTCTGAACCTCCTCAAAATTTGAACAGACAGGAATGAAATGACAAGAATCAGCCCAGGAACGGTGCAAAGTTTTATTTTTCTAAAAACGTCAATCAGTTACCGCAGTCCGTGTGTGTGTGTGCGTCAGGTAAAAAGGGACTGACAGAAAGCCAGACCAGGACTCATCATCTGTTCTGCTACAATCCCCTGCCAACCTGCCAAACCATCATACTTCAGACGCTGACAGACCCTCTTCATCTGGATATCCACATCACTGTCTGTCTCTGCGAGTAAAGACACAGATCTTCACTCCAGATACTTCTGTCAAATACTTTAGCAAATCTTACCAGGTCCTGACATTTAGTGGGTGGCTTCATCCGAGGCATATTGCAGTGCATCATGAGCAGCTACATTTTTTAACACGAGTGGGCCCAGTGCAAATCAAACTGCAAACAGTGGCAGAACAATGAGCTCCAGACTGCTGCTTATTGTAGTGAGTGCTATGGTGGGAAATTTGGCCTTTAACAACAAAGGTTTGCAGTTTAACTGGAATCAATGTGGACAACAATACAAAGACATGAACAGAAAGCATTGGATTCGCCGTGAACAATATCCACCTGACATTTAACAAAAATCACTTTGACCAGGACTCGATAAGAGCAATAAGAACAGTCATAAAGGTCAGAACATTTTATTCCATTTTGTTTTAAAAATCAAGAGTCTGTGCCGCCGCCAAGCAAACGTATTTCTTAAACGATGCATTGCAATCAATGAAATAATCTGTAGAAGTTTCGAGTACTAAAATCATCGTATCGTGAATCGCATCATCTTATGAGCCAAGTGTATCATCACGCCCCTATTTATCACTTTCTGCTATGTATCTACTTCACTTTGTCATTACTAATTCAAAATTTACAGATTTAAGGACAATATACAAATATATTCATGTTTTTCTCCTCAAGTACTGAGCTCAGCAGGTGTCTGTATAACCTGAGGAAAATAGGCAGATGGTCAAGTTTCATACACATTTCTTCTGGATATGATCCCACATTATTTCCAAACCATAATGAGGCAATTAAAAAAGACTTCTGCTCCCTCAGAGCAAATTATTTCCCAGGAATGGTCTCATTACACATAGCAAGGCTACTGAGGTCATGTTCTTTTTTTCTATCTATTTCCATTTTTTAAATGAAGGCAATATTGACTGTTTAGAGGGGAATTAATTGTCTCTTTAACCATTTAATACCAGCACCACATTTGGGTGTGGTGTGCCTAAATGAAAAAAAATGGATTATTCAATGCATTTGGACATAAAGCTTTCAAGCATTTATTACATTGTTGAGCTGACAGACTGGTCTGAAGGTAGAGAGATACCATATACAGTATTTAACGTTTCATTTGAATACTCTGCCATGCAATGCATCTAGATTATCTTTACCAAAGTGACCACAAAAGAAGAGTGTAGTCTATTAACATATATTACTTGTTCATATTCATGCCGCTAAAAATTCTCAAGTAGGGGACAATGTCAACTGCCAGACAAAGTACAACCAAACTACCTTGACAGTGTCCAGGTCTCCGGCTTTAGCAGCTTCCAGAAGTCTGTAGTCCACGTCTGAGTTTCTTACCGGGACGTTCTCTACAGAGCATAAAAGTGAACATTGGAGAAACAAGATCAAAGAAGCCCAAATCTGCAAAAGCTGCGACCACGTACGACGCGTTGCATGCATTCACACACACAGAAGAATAAGTTATGAAAGAGGGGGGTAAAATATAAGGAGGCAGGGGTTAATTCACAGCGATGTAAAAGGAACTCTGTTCAATGATGCCGCCCGCAAGTATCTACCATAAACGGTTCATGAGTTATGAAAGGAGCGAAACAAACTGGTGTGTGTGTCTTTCTACAAAGTTTGGCCATGTTAAGTGAATCCTTTTAGAAACTCCAAAACTCCATGGGGCACCTCTAGTCTGGAAAATACTGCAGGACTGTAATGTGGACTTGCCTCTACCACTGAACAGGTGAGTTGGCTCACTCGTCAAACCTGTTTACCTATGTGCACCTTCAGTCTGAAAGTATCAATATTGACCTTTCAAAAACAATTCCATTTAATCCCACTGCTGCTAGCTAGTGGATAGCAACCACAACACGGCACCCACACATCTGCACACCCAGCCACTCACACACACAGGGTGGCATACCGTTGAGTATTTGCTGAACAGCTTCATTTCCCATTTGAGCAGCAGTGAAGCCTTGCAGCGACACCAGCGAGGCGTCTGCCCCGTATCCTAGCAACAGCCTGCAGGTCTGAAGGTGGCCTGCCATCGCCGCGCGGTGCAACGCCGTCTGGCCCAGCGTGTCTAGGGCGTTCACCTGCAAACACAAACACACTTGTATTATGATTACTGAAAGGACCTTCAGTTACTATGTTTTTTCTCCAAACTGCTTCACTTCTTTACAAATGAACTTAAATCTGTTATTTACTGTTAAAAACTGGCGAAGAGTTATTTTGTCTGCTTCAGATGAGAATTTCCTACACATTTCCTAAACATCTCATAAAGCACTTCTGATCATTGTTTTATAATATTGCCTGGCCTAAACAGGCAGAAAAGGGTATGGCAAAATCAGCTGATATAATTGGTATAATGCTAGAAATGATTGTGCTTAGGTATTCTGTATTCTTACCCACATTAGATGCATGTTATGTGCATAATATGTACAGTTACATGCGTCTGTATCAATAGCGATAGATCAGTAAGAGCCAAAGGAAACATTTTTCCAGTACTGAAAAGGAGATGAGTCACCACTTTTACTGAAGACCCAGGGTCATGCTGCTGTATTGCATTCTGATCTACTAAATTCAGTGTGCTACTCCCTATATGACATCATATCAAAATGGCAGCTCTGAAAGGACTGACAAACAATAAGCCCGCTGTTTGATGTGTCAGATTTCTGAAACATTTACTGCAATTATACAGTATGCAATCATCTAATTCATAATTATATCTGACATATATATTACATCTGTTTTCACATTAAAAGATTCCTTTTCTGTTGATGGGATGTACTGTATATACATCCCAAACAACAAAACAAAAACATATGTGATATTAATTTATATGCATTGCATGGATGAGCAGAAGGATGCTCAAACAAAGACATTTATATCTGATTATGAAAAGCGTTTGCGTACATTTAAAAAGGATTAAGGTGGAAGTAAAGAGATAGCTGGATGAAGATGAAAATAAACATATGACAGAATGATAAATGACCAACTGAATATTGAGAATACTGTGGTTTTACCTTGGCACCATGTTTCTGTAGCACCTCCATAATGTCATTATGAGCACGTTCTGCTGCCACATGGAGAGGAGTCATGAAACTACAGAGAGGGAGAGAAAAGAAGGAAATAAAGGTGAGTGTTCAAAATAGTTTTTTTAAATTTAATTAAGACAAATGGATTGGGTGGCTTTTGCGGCCGCTAAACTTGCAGAAATTACACAAAAATAATTCTCAAAGCATCTGGAAAGGCCGAAATGCACCCCTAATTTCGCTGCCAAGCAAACAGCGTCTTGGTGCTCCGGTGCTATTTGCACATACTTAAATGAGGCACTAAGCAAAAACTTGGTCCCTTTCTATGCAAATGAGCATCATTGCAAAAAAAGTCCAGCTCACAAACACCATAGCCTGACGCAGTTAAAGTTAAATTATTAGTGTCTTCAGAGAGTTGGTGGTAACTTTTATAATTTATAACCCAGACTTTCCAGTGATCATGCATTGGTGATTATAACCAACAAGCAAGCAATAGCGCATCACAGTACATTATATGCAATATACAATTAGAATAATAGAACATTTTAAGATATAAGTGGAAAGCAGTTGCACATTTCTTAACTATGTCATGTGATATGCTACTTGTGTACTACTTGTGATGTGCTGTAATATTATTAGCAAAATATCTTTAGTGCTGCCCAATTCATGATGCTCTCAGCAGCTGCAATCCATTCATTGTGAATTCGCCTCAGTTCAAAACACCACCTCCTGGCAGCTTCAGTCCAAAAACACTGATGATAGCCTTCAAGCACCTGTATAGGTTCAATCACTTTGACGACAGTTTGTATACAAATATAATAATGATCTCCCTTTGTGTTCACGAGCAGATGAAAACAGTACTCACTCTTTATTCTTCTCATTTACGTTGGCGCCTTTCCTCAACAGCAGCTCCGTCACCTGTTTCCTCTTAGGGTGTGGTGATGCTACTGCACAGTGCTAACACACGCAGACAGAAACATCATCTTAGCATCACTGCACCTGACTGGGTATCTGTGTGTACAGTAAAGCGCACGCGTGTGTTTATCTTACCAGTGCAGTCTCGTGTGTGTGAGGGTGTTTGAAGTTGATGATCTCCAGTGCCAGGGTCTTCTTAGCCTTGGCCATGTCAGCTTCCCGAGCAGCCTGAAGCAGCGAGTGGCCCTTAAACTCATCTGAACGTACGCACACACACACACACACACACACACACACACACACACACACACACACACACACACACACACACACACGCGCACACACACACACACAAAATGGCAACATGTCAGGAACAGAGAAGCCTCTGTTTCAGTTTGAAGAAATGAAAACATTTTCTTGACAGGTGTCCTACAAACCCAGAATTTTATCTAAACCCAAAGACAAGCATCTGGTGCTTCAACTGAATGAAAAACTTAAACTGACTAAAGTTAAAAAGGTTCTCACCTGACCATTACAATACAGTCTTTCAATACTTTAGATTACTTCAAAAGTTTTTACCAGCGAGCTAATAACTTATGATGCAACAGTCTGTTTGCTGGAGTTGGAGCGGAAACAAGCGATTATCCCCCCTGAGGACTGAAAATTACAAACAATTTTGCTTCAGAGGCATTTCAGGCTGCATGAAAGGAGTCCATTCATGTCCGTGTACCGACTAAGCAACACCATTCATGCATTCAGAATCAGACGTTTAAAACAAATGGAGTCACATCTTCGAGGGAACGTGGCTGAGAGAGAGGGATGAGTCCGAAGACAACAAAAAGAGCTGATGAATGGGAATGAAAAGCAGCCTCTGGAGTTTATTCTTTAAGAGAAACCTGAAGTCATTTTTCATCCTTAGTTAGTCTAGTTCAGTGCCCCCTAACCTTTTGGGTTTGTGACCCCTTAAAATTAACAAATGCCTATGTTTGAGCCTTCATCACAGCCAACTGCCTTAGTGTGGACATGCACTGTTAGCAGTTCCATCCACCGTCATACTTCCTTCTCCGACAGTTTCATCTGAAGGACATAGAGGCCTGAAGAGGAGAAAGTATACAGCATTTCTTAAAAAGTAATAAATTATGAAGTAATTTTGTGTGTGTAAGTTCTACATTACTGCAGGTATTTGTAATTACAAAAGGTGTAAGATTGATTTCCTCCTGACAGTATGAAAGCCAACCTTTTAGTGCCTTGAAACCTGCTTAAGATAGGAAATCCATTACGGTGAACATTTCATCTGATTAATAAGTTGTCGGTATCAGAGCCGTTGAACTGCAACCAATCAAATTTACAAGACGTCCATCGTCCATCAACTCTATGATGTCATGCACAATCCATATGGACCTTTTTAAGGAATAATCCGTTAATGTGCCAGACTGTTTCTCGGACAGCTTTTTTTATGTACTGATTTTCTATTGTCGACAAAAAACAAAGGATCCCACATCTGTACTCAAGACTCAATAGGAGGGTTAATTTCAGGGTATCACAAGGTTCAATAAAACACATCCTAAGTATTTTTCACAGCCTAGGTGAATAACAATTTCTTCCAGGCACAGAATAGCATAGAAACTCCAGCGATCTATTATACCTTCACCAAACACAGACACTGTCACATAAACACACAACCTACGGGCTACTGTCCAATTAGGCAGAAGCCTCCCTTCACCAGCTAGAGGCCCCATCTCCACGCCAGAAGTGTACAGCACATGCCAAAATATGATAAAACATCACATTTGGAGGAATAGTCCGATATTAAAAAGAGAAATCTTCAGCTTTAGGTTTGTGTTCCTGTGACGAGTCTTGTTATTGCAGCAAATGTCCCACTGAGACGCGTTTTCAAAGACACACTCCCATCAATAAAAAACAGCTAACAGGTGCAAATGTCCTGCAGTTGTATACAAACATATGATTCATGCAGCATTTGATTTTTGTTTTGATCTGCCTCATTACAAAAGCTACAGCAACAAGTGCAGCGTCGAGAGAGCCGACTCGCTAATTAACTTTCAAAGAGTTGCAGAGAGCTTTCTGGCAGGGACAAAGACTTAGCTTGTCTGCTTTGACTCTGCAGTAGCTGCAGGCGTAAAGGAAATGCTGCTGCACTGAAGAAATTAATTTAATTTGAGTGCTCTTTTTGTTTAATTAACATATCATACATCTCCAAAATGCTCAATTAAGAAAAGCACACGCACAGGGATGTACAGTTTGTATGGATGCATACATACAAGGCCCATGTTTCAAACACACAAAAAAATTTTTTTTTTAAAGAAACAGTGGAGAAGAGTTAAATATATTGTGAAAGGTCAACTTAAAATCAAAACTGAGCATGATGAATCCTTGTTTAAAGACATTTAGAGTGAAAAGTTTATGAAAGATGCCTTAATCCTCGCATCCTGGAGTGAAGGTGCAGGTCTTAACTATTTAACTGTAACTATTAACTGTTGTCTAGTATATTTGCCTGATAAACAAGCTATACACATGTGGGATTTCTTTTCGCTTCAGTGGAAATATTTCATGTTTCAAAGAGAAAGGGTTTCAAGTATGAGGACTCTGAGTTAGTATCCCAGGAGGATTAGTCTCAAAGTGTTTTCTATCTTCACAAAGTGTTATTAACAGGGTTGTTATACTCAAGCCAGCACAGTATTTTTTGCATTAAATACTTTTCTGTGTACAAAGCCCAATTACATGCTAAGCAGGGCTTCAGCTCAAAGTTCTATTTTGCAGGTTATAGATTTTGGAAGCTAAGGACCAAAAGTCTTGATCCGGTTTCTAAAAATGATGAACTTGTCTGTACTCTTCTTCTGTGGGTTATCCAGCTAAGTACACAAAAAAAGGAGCTGAGTATGAGCACCAGTTGAGACTTGATTTTGGTTCTGCTCAGCTTTCCAAACATGAGGAACTGTTATCAGATGTTAGCATCTGCCTCTCTTCAAACCCATAGTTCATTGTTTTCTGCTCTAGAAAACAAAAGTTCTCTTATCAAAGACAAATTCACATTTCCAACTGTCTAAATGCTCAAATAAATTCAAGTCAACAGCCGCAAACATGACGAACATAAATACATCCTTTCGAAAACGACCTATTCATTAATTCAGCACCATGGCACATGTAGACGTGCTGTACACGCTGCAGCTGCAGTTTATGCAAATGAAGCCCCACACTCACACGTAAGTCTCTCCTTCAGCTCAGGAGTGGGCGCCATGTCCACAGAGCTCTTGCTGTGGCAGTTGAGCAGGGTCGGATCAGCCCCATGGCTCAGCAGCAGAGAGCAGACCTCCACTCTGTTTTTAGAAGCTGCTTCATGGAGGGGGGTGAACTGCCACAGATCCATAGCGTTCACACACGCTCCATGCTGGAAGAAACAAAAGAAATAGGAACGGTGGGTGAATTCATCATTGTTGAGAACATTTTTTTTATCTACTTTGGATTAAAGGGAATTAAGCAGTCAGTTCTTATAAACACAGCTCGAGACTGATGTATAGTTGGTAAATACCTCTCTTGTTTTTAATCAAATAACAAAAACAACAAAACAGCAGATTCTCTTGGGTTTTAATTTCCATTTTTATCACTAGCGAAAATTTTATATAAATTAAGAGTCAGCTCCACAGCTGAAGTAAATACTGAGTTAGCATGTGTGTTTACCTTTAGCAGCAGCTCAGTAACTTCATAGTGTCCATAGGAGCAGGCATTATGCAGAGGCACCAGACCACTGTAGGGCAAAACACAAAACAGCATTCTAATAAACAACTAATAAACATTTTAACTATTCAAAACCAGAACGTAACACTAATATCAATTCAGCCAATAGTTGTTTAGATATTTCTTACTGAACCAAAGTGAACAGTGGACATTGACATCCTGAGAGCCACGCTGCTGGTAATACCTTCACCAAATAAATTCTGTAAGATGAAATTCTGATGGTGTATTTGTGCCTGTTTAAATCTCATGAGCTTCATTTTACTTAAAAATTACATCAATTGGGGGCAAAAACTGAAATCAGTCTTCAATTCTTAAGTCTTAAACTACACTCAACAACTCCTGAAAATAAAATAAAATTTAAAGAGTAACTAAACCTCCAAATCAGCTGAAAATCAATGTATATGGGAATTCTGTGTTGAGGAGAATTAGTGAAGAGTGGATGGAGTATAGTGATCAAGAAGTTAGATTGTACTGTTAGCATAGATTATTTTAGTGTAAATTCTAGTTAGCTGTATGTTTATAGTAGGTTACTTCACGATTTTAGACAGTTGTTACGGTGCTAGTGTTTTAGACAGTTCAACACACAGAAACTCCTGCAAAGGGCCATGCTTCTAGTGACTGTCAAAGGTCCAGCTGTGTTCCCAGTGCAGACACAGAGAGCCTAATAGCAGCTGCTCATGGCTGTTTAGCTCCGACTACCAGCTCCATATGGCTGCCCCTGCTACGCTGATCAGTGTCACATTGTCATGTCTCCGTACCTCCTGTGTCATCCGCTACGTAGCCACAATGCCTATGTTTACCTCAAATTGACTCAGAAATAAATTCTGATGCATGATGCAGGATAATTTTTTTAAAATTAGAAGAGAGCCAATGAAAACCCTGCAAGTCATGTGTTCGTCCAATCAGATGATTTTTGATGATGTCTCAGTGATGAAAAGGAACGTTGATCATATATCAACCAGCTTACTTGCTACCACTACTACTACTGAGAAATTATAGATTTAGTACTTCCAAAGGTCACACACTTCTGGACACATTAAAAATAAATTCCCTCTCCCACTTCCAGTCTTCTTTTAAACTATTTTTCCTTTTACTTTGATTTGCTTGTACATACCCCTTGTCCTTGGCGTGAACATCTGCTCCATGTTGTAGTAACAGCTGAACTATCCTCACCCTGTTGTATCCTGCTGCCAGGTGGAGTGGAGTGGACTGGAGAGACAGGAAGAGACACAGAAAGAGACAAAGAGGGACAATAAGAGCAAGAGGGGGAGGAAATATAAAGTAAACGTTAGCCCACACATTCTACAGCACGACAGCCCTATGGTCATGATTTCATAACATCATCAGTCCTGTATACAAAGGGTGCAAAAAGGAAATAAACATTCTGGTTCTCAATGAGCAGCCACATTTCTTAGGGAACAGATTTCTTCTTTTCAGAGCTAAAGTAGCTTTTCCACCACTGAATCAGACTAAAGTGATAAGGCCTGAATATATTTCCTCCATTAAACTGATGAAAAGCTGCAGTTCTGAATGCTTTAAGATGGGACCGAGATGAGATGGCTTCAGCTGTCAGTGCAGTTCCCTCTATATGCTCTTGGCAAAGGCCATTCTCCCTCAAAGCTGGAGTAACACTAAGGCTGGTGGAGAAATGTTACAGCCACGAGAATGTCCTCATTATTCAGACAAATTGAACTTGTTAAAGGGAAAAAAAAGTAATGGAAAACCTGTCTCTAAGTCATTTTATACCACTGGATATACTAGAGATAATGCTACAACATACAGCAGGCAGAGTTTGGAGATAAACTGAGCTAACTAGAAAATGAGCTGCATTTTTGGGCAAGTGCGTCAGCAAAATGCCTTGCAGTATAAGAGTCCCTTTCACGCACAAAATTTGCCCTGCAAACTGTCCAGAACCTTTCTGTCTGGTTCACGTCAAGAGTCTGTTCATATAAAAAAAAAAGCTGACTAACCAATTATATGAATTCATAACCTGCAAAAAATCCTACATCTAGAGTTTTCTACCTACTAACACCGTGTCAAGTATCTCTTCGTTAGCTAACAGTTCTGCTAAAAACTGTTCAAAGCAATGTCTTTGGATTATCCAGAGTAATTGGGGCTGTAAAATGCATTCCAGTACAACCTCAGTGGAAACACTGGAAATTAGAAAAAAACAACATTGCCACATTTATATTCTTGACTCCGATGGAAAGTCTGTGTATCGATAAAAACAAAGGGCAATGGAAACAGACGTCATCTCATTGTGCCCTTTTCTTCTGCATTGATTTAATGGCACTGGAGACTTGGTGATTTTGATGAACCCTAGTCCCTAAGTCCTAATATTTGCATAACGGTAGTGAACAGAAACACACATTCATTTTGCTGATTTTCCATAAACTTTTGAAATTTGCACTTTATTTGGATAATTACTTTTTTTTTTAGTGATAGCCGACAGTAGAGAGACTACAAGAAACGAGGGGAGTGAGAGATGGGGAATGACATGACAACAAAGGTTCCAGGTACGACAGGAACCAGGAACGTTGCAGTTTATCTCCATAGCTAGATACACCTGTGGTAAATGACAAAAATGTATTTTTTTCTCCCAAGTGAGGACGCACCGATCCAACTGTTGTTTTCTAATTTTAAACTCAGGGTATCTGCTAATACCAAGCACCGATCTGTTATCAGTTCTCTCTTTTCCCCAAATTTTAAATCTGTATACCTTACTGCATGAAACTTATTGTAATAATTTATATATAAGGTAAGATGAAGCTGGAGATTGCTGTGGCATTAAAACTGAGTCAGCAGCTTGATAATGGAAACATAAAATGTTATAATGACATTGACAAAGAAAATGTATTTAATGTGGATTAGTCACTTTGTGGCTAATACTTGATAATTTCAGTGTCTGCACAGATACAAACCCGGAGAGGATATGTGCATTTAGGTTAGGTTCATGTGTGAAAAGGGCTTCAACCTTCCTCTTTAATAATAATAACCTATGCATATGGCCACTATATTTACATTCCATCTTATTTCAGTGAGGTAATGACTAGATCCCACATAGTGATGGCATGGAAAAGCAGTAGACGTTGCCTGATTGACAATTTTTTTCCCTAGTAAGGAGGAGTGCTCCTGCAACCCTAAAAGCTACAACGGACATGTTTCCCCAGATGTGACGGCGTCCACGGCTTTTTAGACTATACTCCACATCCTTGTTGATGTGTACATCATCATAAGCATGTGAGCTGAACCGGCTACAACGATTGTCCAGCCGATTGTCAATGAGGTACCAACGCTCAACTTTTCTCAGTGCCATCGCCCCCTGGGATCTGGTGTAAGTGTATATCATGCGTACAGTCATTGCAATGTGAGTGATTCTGATAGCCACATTGTGCTTTGAAAGACGAACACTGAAAAGTCATGACCAAGGGGCGGCAGCAGGCTGACGATGTTGGTGGGGGAGCAAAGTGTTGGTGGCATGACGGCTGCAAAGTGTCACACTTCACCCAGATCTTACGACACAACATCAGCATGATCTCCATCCAACACACCAACTAAAAGTCCAAAACAGTGCGTCAATCTGAGCTGAGCAAGCCAGCTGTAAGCAAACAACTTACCAGCATTTTTTGGGATGTCAACTGCTATCAATGTCGCCAAAAACATAAATTGAAATATCAACAAAACAAAAAACAAAAACAGCACAGAAATCACACAATGATGGTAGCATTCAGAGATGCTACAGTAGAGTTAACAGGCTACAACCAGAGGTTTGACCCCAGCCACTGGCTGTATTTTAAGGAACATTGGTAATGGCGTTCTTGACATTTTTCTGTTATAAAGCCCATAACAAGGTCACTCACCGGCCGTGAACAGAGAAACATTTCTCTTTAAAAAGTCAGACTACAACATTATTTCATAAGCCATGATGCAAAACCTTGGCAACATCAAAAATATAAAAAGTGTTTACAAAGCACTGGTTTTCAAAGTGTAGCTTATCTAATTTTCCTCTCTCTTTTTGTAACAAACCAAACGCAGAACATGCTCATGCTCTCATTGCTTGCTGTCTATTTTGTAAATAATTTTAATAATAAGCTTTAAAAGGCTGCATAGACATGATACAGGAACTCTTATCCAAGGAGGAACGTGTTTAACTTTGGTCAGAAAAATGGCATTAGAGGTTGCAAACTAAGGTTTTTTTTTGTCAGACAAAAGTGGAACGCAAGCTCCGGGTGCCATTTCTCTTTGAGCCCATCTCCTGCTCAGTGCTGACCAGACGTCAGAGAAGGTCTTGAAAAATAGATCATCAATGGTGATCTCTGCTGCTCATGCGGGAGCTGGTCTGAGAGGCGGCAGCAGCAGTGAGGCAGAGCTGGGTGGACAGATTGTACATTCGTATTTACAGGATGTGACAGCAGCATTTGGAAGGAGCAAGACATGGTACACAGCTAGTCATCATCCTCATTTTAAATGCAGAGTCGTTCTGTTGAGTGTGTGTGTGTGTGTGTGCGTGCGCACTTGTAACTGCAAATTGTTTTGGATATAAATAATCAGAAAAAAACACAACAAAATAGTGTAAAGCATTAATCACGTCCTCAGTACAGTTTAAACCTATAGCAGTGATCAGTTAGGCCTTACACACACACACACACACAAATATGCATGTACCAGCTCCTCTTACCGGGTCGGCAGATTGAGGAGGTGGAGCTTAAACTACCCAGTCTGACCCTGGCAACGACATCATGGTGATGCAACAGGACATGCATGCGTGTGTGTGTGTGTGTGTGTGTGTGTCTGTATGCGTGAGAGAAAGCGAGAGTGAGAAACAGAAAGAGTCCACATCCACACATAAATGCCATCACTGCCTCAGTATGTTTTGTGTTGGATTCTCCACACAGAAGCTTATTTGGATTTAAGCAATAAAAAAGCAGCTCCATCTGAAACTTTTATTAAAATCCTCTGACCTCAACAGCCAGAAGCCAAAAGTGCTAATAATTGAAAGCATCACCCATTTATTATCTATCTGAGGCATCCTACATCCACCACCCTCCAACTATCCTCCACTGCAGCTTGTTCTCTTTGTAGTGCAATGAATTTATGAAGCAAAGTTGTATTTCAGTATTTTTTTTTTACTACTTGCAAGGGCACATGGTGGCCCTTCAGATGGCAGAAAAGAAAGCTCTTTAAAGGCAGTCAACAGTGCAGCAGTGAGTAAACATGAGGGTCTTTAAATATTTCTGTGTTTACATAAGATCAGTATTTCTGCTAGTGGTAATGCTGCAAGTGTAGCAAAAGTCACATTAGACTGTTTACACAATTACCTGAAATGACAAATAAATTATTTATTGACGATAATGTGAGATGTGAGCATTTAGTCAAGAAATATGTTGAGCTCTGGGCTATTTTCACTCTTTATTTACAGGCTAATGGAGTTGTCACTGCATGTTTTAGCTATGCACGTTATATACTTTTCAGGGTAAGTTAGATTACTCACAAATACCATCATTTGTCACACGAGTGACACTACACATGTTCAAGGATGTGTTTAGTGAAAAAGTCTTCAAAGTCTTTGTATCGTCTTTAGCCATGCTCTATGGATGACAGTGTTGTTCTGCTGGTCGGCCGGTGAACAAACACCTGCAAAACCATTGACATACCCATCAGCCTCAGCTGTACTTTGTGTTAGCGTGGAATCACACTAAACTAAAATGGTAACTATTACACTTGCTAAACATTAGCATGTTAGTGTCAGTGAGTCTTGTTTGCCTATATGTCCAAAGGTTTGTAACACACAGCAAATATCTGTTTATAAACACCAAGGAGAGGGTCAGAGTTGCAGGAATATAAGATAACCATGTTGACAGAAAATTCTGTCAAAAAACCATACATGTTGAGATAAAAAAAAACCTGTATTACTTCTAAGAAAATTGTGATAATGAGGCAAGATCTATATTCATAGGGAGCGCCTATTTGTACATTACTTCTAAGCCGATATATGGACACACTGAAGAAACATATATCACTGGAAAGGATATGTTCTGCTTATTCTTGCAATATGTGCTTAACATCAAGTTGGAATCAGCTATGACATTTGATGATTTCTGACAAAAATGCATCAATCAGGTAGGGGATGAAACTCATTTTAGACAACATTACATCTCAATAATGAAATTAAGGGAATAGTTTTGGGACATAGGCTTATTTGCTTTCTT